CCATTGCAGTTGGAACTTTGAAGTGTACGAGTCTTATTTTCAATCATATTTTCCAATTTCGCATATAATCACCTCGTTTTATTTCCATTCTACAAAGAATCAGACACACTCATGTTAAGAACCTTGAGGTCACCACTCCAAAAGTAGCTCAAGGGGTGGGAGTGCCCAAGGCCTTATAAAGGCCATATTAGTTACCCATCCAATCAATGTGGGACTAATATATCTCAACACAGAAGCGTGAATTGCAGCGGGGGACGGTAAGGCTCTGATACCATGTTAAGAACCTTGAGGTCACCACCTCAAAAGCTAGCTCAAGGGGTGGGAGTGCTCAAGGCCTTATAAAGGCCATATTAGTTACCCATCCAATCAATGTGGGACTAATATATCTCAATACACACTGTGAATAAGTCATTGAAAGGTGAGGGAAAAATGTAATCCAGGAACCAAAACTAAATGAGATTCATAAGAAATCTCAAGGAAGAATGCCGGAGCTTATAAAATCATTTTTTGTTCACTGGAAACTGAAGAGGTCATGAGATACTTACAGGGAACAGTTTGAAGTAGCAATATCCTATTGTCAATATACTGTTCCATGCAATAAGGGACCCGAGTCCAAGAATGAAACATACAACCATCGCTTTGAATTTTCCCTGCTTGCAATAAATCGATCAGAATTATTGTAGGCAGAACAACAATCATGGATGAAAAAGGAAATAATAATAATAATAACATACCTCCAGCCTTCTTGGTGCTCCATTTTCATCAGAAATAGTCATGACTAAGTTGCAGCTAATTTTCCAGAGGAATAGAACACTAGTGGAGATTGTTTTCACTTTTCATGATTATTGTGTACGTTGCAGCTAATTCTTGAAATATAGGAAAGGCGGGTGATGTCATGGTGATCCTATTAGTCCATTTGGATGATTTTTTTTCTCCAAAAACTTTTTTTTTCACAAAGTCTGTTTGGATGTCCAGAAGTCATCAAAAAAGTCAAAATTATGTCTTTTTTGAAAGTTAAGAATTTTAATTTAAGAAAAAAAGAAGCCAAAAATCAAATATATTTTTAAAAATCTAAATATGTGTTTTTTTTAAAACCAAATATAAATGCAGGTATTTCTTTTTTTTACTGGCTTAGCAGGAACGGTGTATGTAAAAAAAAAAAATTTCTCTTCATCTATCATTATTAATTTATTTTTATATGGGAATATTATATTTACACATTTTTTATTTATAAATTCTTACCATTTATATTATGTCTGACCAATAATACTTTAATTAAGAGTGTATGACTGATCAGACTTAGTGTAATTTGTAAAAAAAAATTTGTAAACGGATCATTCTCCATTTTTATATGGTTATAATTTTGTATATATATTTTTTAGGAATTCTATTTTCTCATGTCATTGGAGATAACTCCTACTATAGATACATGATATGATGGAGTCCACCACTTCTACTATAGATACATGATATGATGGAGCCCACCACCTAGTAAAAAAAAATGATAGCATAATTTTTTACGTGAGAATAATGTGAAATAGTTATCTCATGTAAAATGAGATAATAATTTATTTTTTTTAACATGAAATGCTTGTAAATGTACATATGTGTGCATGTTTAGCTTAGCCAGCGGACACTAGTACATTCGTCACTTGTTGACTTCAAACTTAGTACTTTGATTGGTTCTCTTTGTAGAATAGAAAGGCGTCGCCGAATTTGAAGTTAAATTGAACAATAAACAAATGAGACGCCAATTGTTTCTCTTTGTGTAAGAAAGGTAATGTTTGTTTCCCATCTCTTTCTCACGAATAAAGTAACTTTTTTTTTTTGATAAACAATAAAGTAACTTTCTAATACTGACATTTTATAAAGAATTATTCTACCATATCTTTTTAATATCCTTCAAATTACTTAAAAGTTAAAACAATAATTATAAAATTAAAAGGTATTTCAGATATTGAAAACTATTGTCAATTTTTTTTTTTAAAAAAAAACTCACTCATTATATATTTAAAGTTAAAATATGCCAAAAAAGAAAACAGAAAAAAAAAATTCCTTTTCTATACTAACACAATCAATCCCAATCGATTTTGTGATATGTATGCAATTTTTGGGTTAATGAATACCATTCAATTTACTTTTAGACATATACAATATTCTACGAAGTTTTTATTCTTAAATAAATTTTAATATTATATAAATAATATTATTCAAAATTTTAACTAGTAAAAGATAAATAAATACAAATTTATTTTAATTCTTTTTAAGATATAAATAACATCAATTTAAATTTTAAAGAAAGTTAATTTCAATTAAAGCTAAAAGCAATGTCAAAATTGATCAGAACCAATTTTACAATTGGGTTGATCATGTGATCTTCCTCTACACAAATGGCCTGGAACTGCCTTGGGTCAAAGCGCATCTTACAGTTGTGGCAGTTTTAACCCATGGATCTTCAATGAAACAAGATGGGGGTGTACCTGCAAGTATGGGTGTGCATGGGTCAGGTTTTTATGCCGACTCTTTATAGGTCAGGTATTTTGACCCGACCCAATTTAATTTGATCCAAGTCAAGTCTGACTTGCTTTGAATTTTTTTGAACTAGTTCACAACCGGGTCGGATCTGACCTAACTTGGTTTCTGAAGTGAGCCTGACTTGGTTTTCTAAAGTTGGTCAAATTCGACATGACCCGTTTTTGACTTGGTTTCAAAACATATTTTTAATTTTATTTTTTTTGTAGTTATTGATTTTTTTTAAACTCATGTAATTTAATTATATATTTGTTTTAAAATATATAAATTTTATAATAAATTTGATATTTGTTGAATAAATGAAGGAATGTAATTTTAAGCCCCCTGCACATTTGAAGCAAAATTAGTGAAAATTAATGAAAAGTAAACGATCAGAGAACGTTCTTCCCATCTTAAGATAACAAATCACTAATTTTAACAATGATATATTATAAAATTACATAATGTCTATTGATAGAAAATTCATAAATTCAAACTCAAATTATTCAATTATTATTAGGGAAAGATCAATTAGTTTAAGGAAACTTTTGACTAATATGATTGTACATATATAATTTAAGTTATAAACTACAAAGAAAATAGAAAATGCAAAGGAATTAGATTGATAAACAACGACATATTATATAGGTAGAATGGTTGTATAGAAACTTTTTCATTAAAGTAATAATTGTAACTCCACACATAATGACTCAAATAAAAATTGGAGAAAGAAATAATTGCTAATTTGTTGAGCTCAATCGGTAGCGAGCCTTCAAGATTATTATGCGAGACATTTATGAAATTCTCAGTTACTATGCACCTAAATTTTACCAGAAAAGCTACGATATAAAAGCCATTAAAATAAAATAAAAAAACGAAGGAATAGAGAGAAAGGAAATCTATTGCTTGTTATGAAATGAAGGAGGCGATGTTGGAGGAATCAAAGAGTTAAATCCATAGCCAATAACAAAGACCATTATAGCAAAACATGACATCAATCAGGTATTCAGGCATATCATACCATATGGGTTTAAATTAATCAAGAAGCTCGGGATTGAGCACAAGAAAAGTCGAGAAGCATATCGGAGATCCTTTTTGGTGGAGTGCAAGAATGTGACAGAGAGAAGAAATAACCATAATTGTGATTTTTTTTTCTTTTTTTTTACATAATGGGTGTGGGTCAAGTTTTGGATCAATAAGTCATTATTAAAACAAGTCAGGTCTAAAACTGACCCAAATAAAAGTGGGTCAATATTTAAACCCAATTCAAAAAATAGGTATTTATGGGTTAGGCAAATGTAGGATGGTGGTAGGCAAATGTAACGGTGTTGGAGGGTGGTAGGCAAATGTAGGCAGAAAAAATAGTAGGTAAAATAACATATCCCTTATTATTTAAGCATACTTTACAAGAATTAACAAAGTTATTGAATATTCTTAATTTTAAGCAAATATAATTTTTTTGATTCAATTAATAATCTTATAGTTTTAAAAATGTTAAAAAATTAGTTTAATTGATAAAAGATTGTTTTACTGGTGATTTGTGCACATTCGATCATGTCTAATATTGATTGAAATTTTTTGATAATTGATTAAATAAATTAAGGAAAGTAAAAAAAATTCTTTTGAATGAATGACGAAGATAAATATATGATTTGCTTTGATATAAAAGATATGTGTGACAAAATGGGGAGAATACAGTTAAATGAGAAGAAAAATATGCATAAAGTTTATCTTACTCTTAATTATAAAAATTCAAAGTTATTAAATAAAAAAAATTAAAACTTTTAAAGTGATACTTATTACCCTTTTTTTTTTATTACCTTTTTTTCTTATTACCTCTTACTCCCAAATCTTAATTTTTGATTTACGTCAATCCAATGATTATAATTATTGAGTCACACTTATTAATTGATTATTAATTTTTAATAAATTATAAGCGTTAGATTGATGACATCAATAGTTAAAATTTAGTAGTAAGAAAAAAAGCTATGAAGTATAACCTTTCCTTTTTCTTTTCTTTTTTGCCAATTAAGCTAAAAAATTAAATTAATTTTTAGTCATACACTTGAAATCAACCATGGTTTTGTCTACTGTACAGACGAACAAATCCCTAAACAACATATTGTGCTCAATTTGGCATAACAAACCGCAAGAAAAAAGCTTCATGGGGTGTGACCATTTTCCATGTACAGATATAGCGAAGACGAAGAGGAACAAGAGCCATGAACTGATAGCACTTCAACGAACGGTGTCCTTGTCTTGCAGGAGTAAACCCATGCTATGTCCCCGTTGCTAGTGTTACTGTAAGGCTTTGCCTTTGACTCTGAAACTTCCATACAAAACTAGTAGAAGCATTTTTTTTTTCATATTGATCTTAACAAGGTTTTTTAATACCAAAAAACAAGTGTTATGCTAACTTGGAAAGATTTACATTTACATCCACCCACCCTGGGGGGGTTTTTGACAAGAAAACCGCAAACAAGGAAACATTAGAATAGAGGTTGTCCAATATAGACTGGCGCTGTTGTATATCTTCCCATATGTTGTTTTACATTATGATAGTTTTCACTTGTTTGCCATGGTTTTTCAGTTACAAAAATGTCCTCACCTTCTGTTCCTTGCTCAACATATTGATGTATCACCAACACTGAAGCTGTTGTTTCAAAGTCTGATGAAGCTAACAAATCCCCAATGGCTCCCAACTCGGGGCATTCACTCCAATCTGTTAGGCCATCCGTTAGTGGTGAACTTGTACCTTGACCTCTCCCAACTATGAAGAGGTCATTGACATTGTTCATTGATCTTATAGCAGATACTGTTTCCTCCCCATTATTTACAACCTTGTCCATGTAAACAATTGAGTCATCATTTGCAGCCATCATTCTGAACTCATTAATAAACTCCTCATCCATTTTGTTGTCACTCTTCCCAGTATTTGTGTTTTGATTGTCTAGTTCATCCTCAGTGTTTAACTGATCTGTAGGTGGAGGCCTAGTTGCATCCTTGCCTGGAATGAAATGCATGACAGTGAGGCGTACCCTTTGCTGCCTTGACATTCTCCATCCATAGGAAAGTGCTTCTCTATCATCTGGTCCTCCAAAAAACAACACAGCAACCTGATGAGATGATTGATTTGCTGTTAAGCGGTTGGAACCGTTAAGGCCTCTATCAACAAGTATACCAACTGAGCAAGGAGAGTTCTGTAATAAGTTGTGGTTCACCATTCTGAATGCTGGATTTGTGTCCTTCATATCTCCATCAACTGTTTGTTGCTTATGGAAAGGAATGATGATGATGGATACCCTTTTCTCCTCTGCCAAATTGCATATGTCTTCATGCATGGTGGAGTAAGGGGAAACAGCTGTCAAGGGTTGGACTGAGACATAACCAACGTGTTTCTCAAAGTTCTGAAATGCTGTGATAATGTGGTCGGTTTGTGCTTGTGTTTTGTTGAGGGCTGGGCGTCCTGATTGTTGATCAGCATGGACAATGAGCATAGCAGAAGCTCTACCAGTGAGTTCAACCAAGTGGAGCACATAAGCACATATGGGAGACCTTTTGTTGGGGTGGGTTGCTTCGATGAGATTAATTATTGTAGGCACATTTCTAGGTGCGTGAATGCACACCAGCACCCGAAACTCTGCATCAAGTCTTGAATTTTGCACTGTTCTCTTTTTGTAAGGTATGAGCCTTTTTCTTGGCTTATAAATTAATGTCACAATGGGTGGAATTATTCCGGTCATTATAAGCGTTATAACAATCATAATTGAAAATATTTCCTCACTCAAGACCTGCATATGCCAAAGTGATCTGCCAAGTTCAAATTGAAAATAAGGTGATATATATATATAATAACACTAAATGTTTTGAGTTTCGTACCTTTTGTTCCCTCCCAACATTGAGCACAATAATTTCAATAAGGCCTTTAGTATTCATAAGTAAACCAAGAACAATACCATCACGGGTTGGTATCTGGAAAAAGGCTGAAATAAGAGTAGTCCCGAGGATCTTGCCCAAACAAGCAAGAGGAATCACCATGAGTACTATCAACCATCTACCAGCTGCACTGATTGAGTTGATATCAGTCTTAAGCCCACTAATGACATAAAAAAGTGGGAGTAAAAGCCCGGAAACAAAATCTTCAAGCTTTTCTATTATAGCAGCTGTAAGTGGGCCATTTGGAATTACTAGGCCATATACAAAAGCTCCAAAAACAGAATGTGTTCCAAGTACATCCGTAACGAAGGCTGAGATCATAACTCCAATGAGCACCATACATATTTGGAACTCACTGAAGGGTTTTCCTTCTGGGGTTCTCTTGATCATCCACTTAACTGTTGGTCTAACAATAAGAATGCAGAAAGCAACAAAAACAACATTTGATAGTATAACCCAAATGGAGGCCCAGGAACTAATATGTTGCTCTGATAAAGCAATAGCTAGAGCAAGCAAAATCCAGGCACACACATCACTGATGAGAGAAGTTGAGAGGGCAAGCTTGCCGAGCTCTGTGTTGATAAGTTTCAGCTCAACAAGTGTGCGAGCAAGCACTGGGAATGCAGTCACAGATAAAGTAATACCAAGATAAAGGATATAGCTGCCCATGCCCATGCTCATATTTTTCTCTCTGTCTCTTAATAAAAAGGAGACACCAACACCAACTAAAAATGGCAATATCATACCAGCAAGGGCTATGGACACAGTCTTTTTTCCAGTGCGTTTGATAAAAGAAAGGTCCATCTCTAACCCAACTAGGAACAAGAAGTATATGACACCTATGTTTGCCATTGTCTCAAGCACCACCACACTTTTTAGAGGGAATACAGTACTTCCATATTTCTCATTTCTACCAAGCACTGATGGGCCCAACAGCAATCCACCCTGTAAATATTATCAAATGATTCGAGTCAATTATCAGGTTGAAAAATATTTAAAAACAGCAAAGCCAATGACTCTCAAAAGTCAAAATTGCAATATTATGATCACAATTGAGGTTACCAACTGTAATTTAATTTCCTGCTGACATATGTTCAACAAAAGTCTATTGCATATAGTTAGTTACCTGATGCTTTCGGAGGTAGGTAACAACTTAATAGTTGATAAAATTAAAAGAAACTATAATTCATAACTATGGGTTAATATTATATTTGTATACTTGTACATTATGTCAAAGTCTATCTTTGACTCGATATGGCTTAAATTTACGTTTATAATTATTCAAAGCATCTTGGTGAAGATTTTCTTGAAATTCAAAGACCTGCTTTTTTTCCCAACCAAATTAAGAAAAGAGAAATAATAACTAATTGGGAAAAGAAAAAAAAAAAGAGAGAGGAAAGAATAATGTCAACGCTTTATGAATGTGTCCTTTTTCTCTGCTTCTAATTGGAACAAGGAAATAGAAGTTGGAAGGAAAAATAAACTTACTATGATTTCAGCAATTACACGGGGTTGGTGAAATGGCTTGAGGAGGAAAAGAAAGAAACGTGTGGAAAGAACAACTAACGTTAATTGCAAGACGAAGAGAGGGAGGGAGAAATTTAAAGGGTTATCTCCCTGCCATACACCATTTGTTGTTGCCAAAGTTGGTGTATAGCAAATTACTGATCCATCTGACATATTAAACGGTTCCTTCGCAACGTTGTCCATTTTCTCCAAACTCCAAAATCAAGAACACAAGCAATATAAAAAAATATATATATATATATATAAATATATTTATATTGCTTGTATTCTTCCCTTTTCAAATAAATATGTTAGGCTCAAAAAGATTATGAAGATCAAGGTACAAAACAAAGGTGTATGCAACCCTTGGTCGTGTTTTTCTTTTTTTTCTGGGAGAGACAGGTTTAGGTTTGGAGCTTCTTCCCTGCCTCGGAAGCCTGAATGGAGGAGATATTTTAAGGTCATGTTATTAAATGTATGTATCTATCTATTTTTGAGAAGTTAAAAACTCAATCTACCTCGTGACCTCTGCTTAAAATGGGGGTGTGTCCCACTTGGGGTAAACATTATAATAATGACATTACTCATCTCCATCACCACTACATGGATTTAGTTTTTCTTTTTTTTCTCTTTTGGTTCATAATCCGCATTAAACGCACAAGTTGATATAATGTTTTCAATTACGAGTTACTGGAAAGAGGAGGTAAAAAAAATAGAGAGACATTGTTTCATCACGACAATTCAATGAAAGTACACAATGACAGAATAAATAAACTTTATATATACATGCTAAACACCCAATACACATGCTTGTATATATATAATTTTTAATTTATATCTATACTCTATGGTAAAATAATAATTACTTACTAGGTGGAACTAAAACGAATGATCAATATAATACTTTAAATCATTGGGCAGCCTCTTATGAAAAGGTAAAAAGGAAAACGAAAGACGGAGCTCAGAGGTTTATGAATGGGTTGGCCCATACCATACATGAGGACTCCATCTGATGATAGTAGCAGTTGGGCTAAACGTAAATGTGCAACTCAGTGATAAAAATTGTCCAATCAATTTTTTATTTTTTTTTATTGCCGTCGTGTGAGGTTGAATCCAACTTCTTGAATTACAGGCTTGTTTTCGGCATTTCATCATAGTTAGGATTTATGAGTTTGATGTTTTTGGTTTAAGAGATAAAATTATATTGAGTAAACATCATTTTTGGTTCCTGGCAATATCTATGAAATCCTTTTTAGTCTCTGGCAATAAAAAAGGACTAAATTGGTCCCTAACAGTATGTAAAAAGGGCCACGTTAGTGACAGAGGAGTTGACAGAAGGACTGATGTGACTCTTTTTTCATAATTTTAGGGATCAATTTGGTCTTTTTTTATTGCCAGGGACTAAAAAGGATTTCGTAGATATTGCCAGGGACCAAAAATGGTATTTACTTAATTATCTTTTACATATATATAAAAATAAGTGGGACCATATAAAAAAATATAACCCTATATACTTTTATGGGTTCGGTGTTTGTCATTTTAAATGACATAAGTTCTTCATTTTAGGAGAGAGATAGACACAAAAAAACGGAAATCATGGGAGAGAGAAAGTGAGTGATTTTTTTAATTTAAAATTCAAATTTTCTGTGTCTGTATCTCTCTTGAAATGACATAAATTTCTGTCATATAAAATGACAAACACTTTTCTCTACTTTTATATGTACGTAAGAGATAATTTTATCTTCTATGAGAGTTATTACTTATTAAGCCCAAGCATTTATTTATTATCTAAATTATCGCAGGCCAGGAACATATAGCTCTATATATTTTGGCTCTGTATTTTCTTTTATTGTTTTCTTGTCACTTTCATCTACAAAAACTCTTTATTAGAAACTAGTCCCTTTGAGATATTACCATACTCGACTGAGCTTCTCTTAATGGGTTTTCTCCTGAAGTATCTATGTTTTATTTTGTTAAATGTTTGTTTAGTGTCAAAATCCCTTAAATTGTTAAACAGGTTGTCTTTAGTAGATATTTTTTTTCAGAAAACTTCCTCATAGGTCCTTTTAGCGAGAATATATGGTTTTTTTTAGATGTGAATTTTATATGCGGAATAACATTTTTATATGAAAAATATTAGAGAGAATTAAGTATGGAGTTTGATTTTCTCATGTTGAATGAGAATTCAATTCTCATGTTGTAGAGATAAAAACATGTGGGACCCATGTGTTGGAAAAAATTATATGTAGGACCCATGTCAGCACGGAAATCAAAGGGTGTGTAGGAAAATTTGAATTCTCATGTTGAATGAGAATTATAAAACCCATTAAGTATTATGTTGCATGACATTAATATACTATGTCATGTTATGAGCCATAGAAATATGTGTTACTTTTTCTTTTTCTTTTTTAAATGAATAATATGTTACATAACATATGATATGTCATGTTGTGAGACATAGAAATATAAGGCTCACTTAATTTAAAAAAACAAAACAAAAAAAGTAGCACACATTCTTATGTCTCAATGCAATATATACTCAATTCTCCCCAAATATTAATATATTAATCACAAAGATAATATTTATGTTTTATGTTCTATATGAGTTATATTTCAATACATTGAAGGAAAGATAAATTTTTATATTTCAATGTCTAATACTAAATATTTAGGATTTACCTACCCAAAAAAAGTTATTTAGGATTTTTCATAAAAAATACATATAAAAAAAACTTATATTCAAACCATTGATTTATTTGAAGAATATACAACGATAATATGTTATAATTTAAGTTTTAAGAAATAACAAATCCTATAAAAAAAATATTTGACTATTAACGAGATCTGCCTATTATAATAAGAAAATAATAATTTAACAATTAATATATATATATATATATCTCGAAAAATGAAGAAATTTTTTTTTTGTATTATAAAAATAAATATTCATTTCTTAAATTTTTACTTTCATTTTCAGGTTATGCTAAATTAATCCTTAATGCAAATTTTTTATCATTACTTATATAAACTCACTTTAGTTTATCTTTGGGTGAAAATAACATGAATGAAGTTTATATAAAATTATATGAAAAATACACTTTTGATTTTTTTTATCAATATTTTTAAAGGGCAATATAATTTTTATGGGTTTTATAATTCTCATTCAACATGAGAATTCAAATTTTCCTACACACCCTTCGATCTTCGTGCTGAAATGAGTCCTACATATAATTTTTTATAACACATGGGTCCCACATATTTTTTATCTCTACAACATAAGATTTAAATTCTCCTTCAACATGAGAATTATAAAACTCATTTTTTATACTACCAGAAGAAGCAAATATTTTCTTGCGTACTCAACAAAAAGTAGGGCCGGTAAGGAGAGAGAAGAAAAAAAAGCGCGTTTTTAACACATGGGTCCTACATATAATTTTTTTTAATACATAAATTTCATATGCTTTTTATCTCTACAACATAAGATTTGAATTCTCTTTCAACATGAGAATTATAAAACCAATTTTTATACTACAAGAAGAAGCAAATATTTTCTTGCGTACTCAACAAAAAGTAGGGCCCGTAAGGAGAGAAGAAAAAAAAGCGCGTTTTTCAATGATCAAGAAGAAAAAATCATGTACTTCTACAAAATAAATTTTTTTTTTTAAATTCATACCAGACTAAACCTCAATATATTTTTTTACGAAAGTTACTAATCTTATGTTATTTGAGATAATACTCACGTTGGTGAGACAAATATGTGGGATTCATAATTTAAAAAAAATAACACAAAATTCGATAAATATATAACATAAGATAACTATCTTCAATAATATCATAAAAATATGTTCTTTATATATATATATATATATATTATAAAAAAAATTCCGTACTAAAATTCCCATAACCGGTCCATCACAGATTCACAGTGAAAAGGTACAAATTTAGAGTATAGTTGTCGACTTGTCGTAGCCTGACTTGTCAAATCTTAAAAAAGTTTATACAAATAGAATTAAATATTTAAGTGTCAAAGAACAAAAGAAATAAAATCGACCAAATTTATTTCACCAAAAAAAAAAAAAAATCGACCAAATTTCTAAACGACAAGAATTATCTTCTGAAAGGACTCTGACTTCCCATCGAAATACGAAGGATAAAAGTAGAATTATAAGGTAAAAAAACCTTTCACTGGCCTTGTATCCAGAGCAAAACAAGAAATATTATAAAATTATATGCTCTATTTAATTTAAAAATAATACTATTTACACATATTTGTTATCTCACATTTGTATAATTTTTACTGTTTAATTACATATGATTCATGATGATATAAATGAATGTAACGCGTAAATAGTATGCAATAAGTAGTCTTCATCAATCCACCACACAAAAAAAATTGTAATATTCACCTGGAATTTTTTTTAGAATGCGATTACCCAAAAGCATAGCGACATACGTACGGACCATTTCAATGCCATACAACACAATAACTTTATTTAATTCAAAAGGTGAATAAAAAATCATAAAACGTAAAATTTTAATATTAAAAAAATCGTAAAAACCTAAAAATATTTAGAATTTTGATGAAATTATTTTGATTAAAAAAATTATAAAATCGTAAAAGCGTAGATTTAAATCGAGATTTTAACTACCATACTCCGAGTATGATAAAAAAAAGAGAGGAAAAAAGTGTGTCATTTTAAATGACACCTTACATCATTTTACTCTCACAAAGAGTGAGACCCACATCTTTAGAAAAAATTCTCACTTTCTCTCTTGATTTATCTATTTCTCTTACTTAAAATGACATAACTTTGTATTTTTTAAAATGATATACTCTTTTCCCTAAAAAAAATTTGTTTTTCATAATGTGAGGAAACACTCTTGACTTAGCTTTTACCTTAATTAAATGTAACAATATTTTTAGCCTTTATTATTATTATTATTTTCGAGCAACTTTAGGTGGTGTTTGATGTAGGAAAAAAAATTATCTTATCTAAAAACAACATATTGCCTTCCTACCAACATTTTATTCCTTATTTGGCCCAAATAAAATATTTATACGACTATAATTAATTTCTTCAAAATTTTCCTTAATAAATATAAAACAAAATAAGTAAAATAACACTACATATATATACCTGTAAATTAATGACTTATAAATTAAAAAAGTTCTAATATCTTATAATCCCAAAATAAAAAATATCTTGCTACATTAAGTGGTGTAGCCACATTGGAACCAGCAAGTGCCTTGACAAATCAGAAATCTTTTTGATCTTCAGTGACTGTAAATGGTTTGCTTCCTCCATAGCTGTTGGTATTGGCACTAATTTTTTTTATGGTTGGCTGATTTTTGGCGTTAGTTTTTCAATTTTTCTGGCTCTGTCATTGGCTACATTGATATTTAAATTTATATATACATATATATAGTTTTAAAATTAATAAATTCTACAAATTTAAAATATAATAATTATATAAACTAAAGTATTGATTAAACTCGTATAATTAAGTTATAAAATATATCTTTTAACTAGTAGGCTAAGCTCCTTGGAGTACTCTATTTATCTTTATATGTAATTCGTGAAAATTTCACAAGATATGACGCTTGTACGAAACTAAATTAGATAATTGTCTCGCACAAGTCACATGCAATGCAATGGTACCTCTTGTTGGTAAAGAGTAAAGACAATTGAATGTCCCTAAAGACCCCCAATAGCCTCAAAGTTACAGATAATTCCCAATCCAGACGCTAGTCAATTCAAGTGGGACGTTTCTGACACACTTCTTGTCTTGATCATCATCATGTGAACAACTCTGCATTTATGTCTTATAAATTAAAACACAAATGCCGAATCAGTATTACATGATGAGATATGGTTAGTGTTCAATATTCTGCGATATAAGACACATAGCAAGTTAGCAACATTATTAACTTCATTATCACAGTGGGGTAACCCGGCAAAATATTACTATCATAGTGAGTCTAACAATAATAGTAGAGTTATCAAAACTAGTCAAAGTTATTATATTATTGAGGATGTAATGGTAAAAGAGGATTCCTTTTTGTTCTTGTTGGGATTCAGAGAGCAGATGAGTCAAAGGGAATAAGGTAAAGATTTCATAGCTATCATTGTAGGTTTCTTGCTTTTTCCTTTTCTTTTCCAAGCAAAAGGGGTGTGCCTAATATCAAAAGCCGAAACTAAAAATGGGTGTGCTGTGCACTATGTCATAATTAAAATGACATGAAACATTGTTTAGCTAGTAATAAGCTCAATTATTCATCAAATAAACACAGAACAGAAAGAGCTACTCATGCTTTCCATTACAAAGGTGTGAACGAGTCCCAATAGGACAAGTTGGTTTTCCAGCTTGTACTTAGTGATGGATTTAGCAGCACGCTTCAATGTTTAGCAGCGCTTTTCTCTGCCAAAAGGGAGAATACAAACCACAACTGTCTCTACCATGCTCTGATTATAAGATCAAGCAGAGGACCACTTACACTCTGATGGAAACATGTTTTTCAAATTGGAGGTTTAAACTAAGCCTTACTAAACAGAATGTAGATAGATATCTTCTACAGTGAAATATTAGAACACAAAATGTGATACCCACATAAACAGAAGGGAATTGCATGATTATGCTATTACAGCGTATAATTTTGACTAGAATATGTAAGCACGGATAATAGAAATTTATGAACATCATGATATCGGTGGGACCTGGGATTCAACCCTTCATGTGTGTAGATTTTTGGAAGTAAATGTGACACTCCCAATTTTAACCAAAAGATTGTAATTTAATGTCAGTTCAAGCGCACATGCTTTATTATTATGTTCCCTTTCTTAAATTTATAAACTGGTAGGACTTTTTTTTTTTTTTTTTTTTTTTTTTGATAACAAAACTGGTAGGACTTTTCTTATCTATGTGAGGTGACAGAAAATGCGATCTTTAATACTCATAATTAGCCCAAAACTTGTTGAACCCTTTAGGCCCTCCTTATCTCACCTCTCGTGAGTTTTTCTTTTTACAGGGGAAAAAATATCTTATGATCCATTTTCTAATTATTGGAACTCTAATAATGAAGAAGAAAAAAAAACTCAGCAATGAATTTTTAAATAGGGCAACAAAAGTTCTGGATACGGAATTTATATATATATATATACACACACGCACGATATTCATTAACTGATTTAAATTATGGTAACCGAATCAAAAAATTGATAATCAAATTAATTAAAAATAAAAAAATTGAAAAAAATATACATTTTAATTGGATTGAATTAGTTTTTTATTTGATTGGTGAAAACTAATTCAATGTATTATACATTTATTTTTTTTAAAATTTCTCTAATATCTTATTCTCTAATTCAATAACATAAAGTAGGGGTGTTCATCAACCGATCCAAACCGATTCAAACCGCGGAAATCGAACCGAAAAACCGATAACCGAATAAACCAAAAACTGAAAAAACCCCGCAAATTTTAATTGGATTAGATCGGTTTTCGGATGGATTGATGAAAACCGATCCAATATATTAATTCTCCTCTACCTACTTGGTCATTTCTCCAATCATAGCTCAAAAATTTCTAAACCCAAGACCCATTAACTCATCAACTAAACCCAAGAAAAAACTTAGTCACGTCTCATCAACTATAGTATTATTTATTGATATTTTTGTATTTCAAATTTTTTTTTACAAAACCAATATATACAAAAGATGTTATTTGCACAATAATCATGAAACTAATTGTAGGATATTCAAAAAACTAAAAACCGATCCAATCCAAATCGAAAAAAATTGGATTGGATTTGAAAAAAAATCTAAACTGAAAGGATGATTACATGATCAAACCGAAGAGATTGGATCAGATGAGTTTTGCTTCGAAAATCGATCCAATCCAGACCGCGAACACCCCTAAATTATAGTAAGAAAGAGTGTATATCCTGTTGATAGATTATTAATTTTATCTCTTTCAATTTTAAAATGATGTTATTTTGGTTTTAGAAAAAAAATGTAAAATATTTTGGAAATTTTATTTCTATCTTGTAGGATGAATTTTTTAAAATATCCTCATCAAATCCTAAAACAATAGCATCTCTTGGGATAGAAAAAAAAATATTAAACTCATTATATTATTTATTATTATTATATAAATAATAGAATTTAAGTCAGCTTTGCCTAAATTGAAATAAAATCTTTAAAATTATAATAAGGTATATGTAATTAATAATTAATTGGATATAATCTTATATATATATAATATTTTAAAATTCTAAAAAATATATATGTATAATTAATTTCAAAATAAATTAAATTTAAAGTCTAAAAGAAAAGAAGTATGAAAATAACGTGTTATTCTTTAATAAAGAATAGGTTAATCACTCTTAAAAGAATTTACTCTAATTTAATATGTAGTGGTGGATTATAAGCTAATTGATTTTAGGAGGCAGTTATTGAAAATAAGTTATCTGCAGTAAGTGTAATACGATGTTATTTTGGGATAAAAATCATGAAATTTTTATAATTTTAATTATTTTAAAATTATTATAATCTTTATAATTATAATTATTTAATTTTTAAATTCTAAAATAATGTCGTTTTGAAAATATAAATACAGATAACTTAACTCCAACGATATTATTCTGTTATCATTTGAAATTTAAAAACACTCCTACTAAAAGATAAGAATTGAAATATGAAAGTGAAAGGATTAAATCAGATACTTTTTACTTCGAAACCAGTCGAATTTAAAGAAGAGTGAGGAACAAAGGATCCATAATGTGTCAATAGTTCTGCCAACTAAGAAGGTCAGCACAATCGCTTTATCAGCACAGAGAGCGAAGCTTCTGTTCCATCATTACAGTTACCATCTTGAGACCTTTTTTTCTCATTGTCTTTCTCATGTTATCCTTGAATTCCTCAATAACAAACAAACAAACAGTAAAGAAAGAAAGAAAAGATGGAGTTTGATCTTGAAAACCCACTAGCCATCTTCAATGAAGAGGAAAGCCGTAATATATCAGAACTCTTTGAATCCGAATCTGATCACATTCTCTCACCAAACTCTCCAAGTTCAACAAGTTTTCACGTTTCTTTCAGTCGTGAAGCCATTTCTCTCATACATAAGGTGAAAGTTAGGGTCCATATAGTATAGTATAGTATGTTCAATTCCTTCTCTTTCTTTCATGTCACATTTGCTAGAGTTTGTCATGTCATATTTTTTCAGGTCCAGCTTTCATGCAATTTGGACCCATTTGTTGCTTATCTTGCTATAAATTACTTGCACCGTTTCATATCAAGGCATGAAATTCCAGTAAGCAAACATCTAATGATTCCCCTTTAATCTTAAGTTAGTAAGGAAGCCTTGGAACAATCCTATCTCAAAAAGGTTTCCAAGATTTCCATTTGTACCTCAAGACTATGGCAATGTACAAGCTCAGTCCTCTGATTTTGCTGCAGGGGAAGCCGTGGGTACTAAGGCTCGTTGTCATATCATGTCTTTCTCTAGCGTCAAAGATGAAGAACACACCTTTATCACTTTCCCATAATATCCAGGTAAATCTTCAAATTCATTAGCAGAAAGAGAATTTATACAATGCCATAGTAATATGAACAAGTGACGCTTGTATAATCAATGAAACAGAACAAAGGTTTCATCTTTGATGCTCGAAGCATTCAAAAAATGGAGCTTCTAATTCTTGGGGTTCTGAAATGGCGTATGAGGTCAATTACACCTTTTCCTTTCTTGCGCTTCTTCATCTCTTTGGCTGAAATCAAAGACCAGTCACTGAAACAAGCACTTAAAAAGCGAGCTTCAGAGATAATCTTCAATGCTCATAATGGTACAATTCTTATATTTAAACATGTAACTCCATTTTAATCTTCAATTCTTCAATTCCAATCAACACACAATCTGAATTGCATACCTCTTTTGGCTGCAGACATTAAGCTATCAGAGCATAAACCTTCAACTATTGCTGCAACTGCTCTTATATATGCGTCTAATGAACTAATCCCGCATCAATATTTTATCTTGAGAGGAACAATTACAGCTTGTGAGTATCTAGATGAGGTAAGTTTACATTCAACAACTATCCTTTAAAGCAAATGTTTTGATTCTTTATTGGTATTTATTGTCAAGATATTGATGGTGGTTATTTTAGGAGGCATTTTCCAAGTGCTATGAGTTGATGCAAGAGATGGTGAGAATGGAAGCAAATGAGTCAACTATAGATACAAGCTTTTTAAGCACTGAAACTCCAATGAGTGTACTGGAGAGAAGCTCCAAACGGTAGAGAACTTGATGGTCTCAGTTGCAGAAACAAAATTCCAGTTTTCTCAAAGGAAGCTGAGGGATAACAATCTTATTCGGTCCATATGTTCTGTGTGTCAATGTTTCCTTTCAGTCCAAAACTAGAGCCATCAGAGAGGGGCCACAAGGCCCTATTTTGAACATTCCACTCTCTTGCATTATTACTTGAAAGACAAGGAAGACAAAACATTGTTCCGATTAGATATAAAAATAGATGTACAAAAATAGGAATTGTGGGATGAATGCTGGTCTCCATTGCTTTAAGAAACGAGACCATTATCATGCCTGTCTTTTCTAATACTAATCATGTTTTCTATGGTCAAATGCATCATTGGATATATTATTGTTCCCACAGCTTCTTTATATAACCAAATTGCCACTTATTGAAAAAGCACAGCTCAGATTTCTGAAACCAAGGACAAATAAGGACATTAATGAGGCGTAAACTTGCACAATACAAAAACAAATGCGTGAACAGTGAAAGTTTTGCACAATTACAGCCCAGAAGAAAGGCACTGACCAAAGTAACTTTAACAAATTATGCAATCAATACAACAAAAAGATGATTGCATCATTGAGGCCCATAGTCATCAGAGAATGGAGCTTTTTTTTTTTTTCTTTTTCTTTTTATTGGGGCTTTGGGTACGTAGGCTTGTGAGGTCAATTACATCTTTTATTTCTTGTGTTTCTTCATAATAAAATATTCAAAACTAGAGCAAACATTTTGAGCTAGGAATGATGGAGCTTATGTTTTTTAACCTGGGATAGTTTATTTTTAAGACAATTACTAAATATGTCAAACTTTCAAAATAGTTTTTAATTTTTTTTTCCACATAAAATAAGTCTATATATTTCGAACTAATCAGCCTAATGTCTCTCATAGTTATTAAAAAAAGAAATTATTATTATTATTATTATTTATTTTTTTTGATAACAAGAAATTATTTTTTAAATTATAAACACATTCACTGCTTCAATTTTTTATTTAGTACTTTCTGTTTTAAGTAATTAGATAGATATTAGAAAATACAACATTACTCAGAAAATAAAAAATCATAAAACAAGTACTTTATGCTAGTGGTTTACTCAAATTTCATAAAACTCTGCCACGGATGTCCATAATAAGGTATATAGGGATAGAATATTGTGACACACAAATAATGTTACGCACAATGTTACGACCACATCTTAACCGTTGATTTCCGCCAATCAACGGTTATCATTTTTCAAATCAAACTCATTAATTAATTATTAATTCGCAATAAATGATAACCGTTGATTGGCGGAAATCAACGGTTAAGATGTGGTCGTAACATTGTGCGTAACATTATTTGTGTGTCACAATATCTTATTCCAAGTATATATAGGTTCAGAAGTACGGGATGTATTCATATGGACACATATAAGTCTGTAACTTGAATAAGAATTTAGAAAGCAACGATGTATTCTTATGGAGATTTGTAATCTCACTCCTCTTTGGGGACATATTTTCAGGTGCCCAGATTTTCGGTGAGTCCTCACTAGGCAGGGACACGACACGTGGCTGAGGCAGTTGACAGATCGGATTTTGAGTGGCTGTAGGCTACCACCTTTTTGGAGTGTTTGATGTCTTTTAGTATTTCCGCATTTGATGGATCATGATATTGATCCTTTATTTTGTATATGGCTTGTATATGTTTTGTACATGTCTGTCACTTTGATGCATGTACATTTGGGTATTCAGGCACGTTATATGATGATGTATTATTCAGTTTATGATTTCTTATTGGATTGCATGCTGATTAGGATAGTGGCACGGAGCCATATTTTGCATGCGCTCATGGATGGGTATCTGATTATATTTGCATGATTGGTACTTCTGGATTAATATGTTGTATAAACTGTTTATCAAGAAACGCTTCTGAGTGGGATTGGAAAATCCCCAGTTGTCCGATTTATAGAGGAAACTCTGCCCGATTTTTGTTTACGCCTAGTAATAGGTAATGAAGAAAAAGAAAAAGTTAACTCGTATTTTTGTAAGTTTAGTCTTCCGCTGTTTCTGTTTTTATCATATGTATGTTAATTGAACCGGCTCGAGACAGGGATGTTACAATTGAAGTCCTTTACTGCAATAGTTTTTAAATAATTTTCTCAAATCTCATCCTTTTATTTTAAGTTTTTAAAATCATCTTTTGAATTGTTCACAAGTCTTGAATAGTTCTCAATTTTTACAATCACAAATATTCTCAAACCAACTTTTATTCATCCAATAAGAAAGGAATAGTTAAAATAATTGTGGTGCCTCAATCCTCGTGGGACGATATTCTTACTCACTTTTTATTACTTGATACGATCAGTGCACTTGCTGATTTTACGCAACAGATAACTTATCATATCCTACTTTTATCTCTTGTTTGGTAAGTCAATAGAATATGATTAGCTTATCCTATTGTCTCATTTTATCCTATTCAATACATGATTTCTTATCCTATAAGAGGAGATGTGTTAAGATTCAACATGATAGGATACCAATATTGGATATCCAATATATCCTCACGCTACCCAATATATTTGTATTTATTGCATTATATTTTATTTTTTTTCTCTCTTTTCTCCTTCTTACATAATTTTATTAGATTGCTAATCAGGTGCTCATCAAACACAAACACAAACACAGAGCATGATATAAGCTTATTAGTCTCATATCATATTCTACCCTTATCAATCCCATATCATATCATGCCTTTATCCTATATTGTCCACCAAACGAGCCCATCAAGATCATGAACATTGACATATTAGTTTTGGTCCTCAAATTTTTTTACTTATTTTACATGATTCCTTATATTTTTAAAACCCCACACCAAGTCCTTAAAATATCAGACTATCAGGCAAGTCAATCGCTAAGTTAAGTTGGATTTGTTTTTGTTAAAGGAACTGTCAACATGGCACTTTTATATTATATGGCACGAAAAATAATCACATGTAGGTATGACTTTCAACATAGATAAGACGACACTGTTGTGATGGAAACAAATTTTCCCACATCATTTGGTTTCTGCAGAGCAAGGCGCTTTTAGATGAGCTAACTGTGAAATTGCATTTGGAAATTCCCTTATTTAAGAACATGATTCGAAGATTAAAAGTAACAACTTCCTCGCAGACTCTTTAACCATGTCCCAGTGGCAAGTGGCAACTAATATTATAATATTTTGTCACAATATAGGCTTCAAATTGCAACTTTAGTGGCCTCCTTAGAAAGCAAGTTAAACTTGAGCCAAAAAAATAAGCTTAATTTTTTATTGAGTCTAGCTAAGCTAAACTTGACTCTCTTCGAGCCTATCCAAAAATATTCACATGAAAGAGTGTTGCCACTCCCTAAATTCAGTAAAAACCGGGCCATTAGAGAGAATGAACAAGTTTTCATTATAATACAACAATTAAGATGACATTCTTTCAACAGCATAGAACTAATCAAAATGTATACTACTACATGGGATGGTTAAAATAAGATCCCATTAGTTGAGAATGAAAGACCCAATATGCACATTTGCAAACTAACATCTCTACCTACTGGGATAATTTTTAAAAACAACATTGTTCTCCATCCTAAAGTCATGCAAATCCTAGAGGGAAAGAGCATACATTTATTGTTTCCCGTGGACTGCTAATACTTAGTCCTAGTATGAACTGTCTGTTGCAGCCGTCATTACATTCATTTCTTGGCCAAGAAATTTGATGAGAATTTGGAATGCAATATGAGGTGCAGACACTAGGGATAGAATTAAGATGAAGAGCCATTGATTCAAAACATACCCACTACTTAGATTCAAGATTGATTGCTGATATCTATGCTCTTTTCAGTGCAACTTTCATCATTAGACTTGATGGATTCGATAGGAGGAGGACATAACTCATAGAGTGCTTTACTCACATCCCTAACGCCACCTATGCACATTGTGTCGCCCCGACCATGCCAAATGCCATCTTGAACGTTGTTCATCTCCAGTGTTCTTGACTCCTGCATCATATTACAAAGATACAAAAATTCAATACAATGAATGATGCCAATTATACATATCCCCCCATTTTGGTTATGGCCATCACTAGTTTGAAAATTTTTCCATTATCAATAGCTTTATCTCAGAAAACAGTTAAATTAGTCTATACAACCCAAGCTAAGAAGAGAGAATTTTGAAATGACCTGACATAAGGTACAACAAGGACAGACAAAATGATAAACACAATCGTCCAACGAGCTATCACTACCCTGAAAAAGGTGCCAATTAATAGTGTTAGATATACGAACGCAGCCAAAATTACATCAAAGTTAGTCAACCTATATTCGACATAAAAATAAAAGCACGTACCTGACAAAAATAAAGCCAACATGCATTACAACCCACACACTAGGAAGTCACATAACTCAAAGTATCAAATATAAAACAATCATACTCCAACCAGTGTTTTAAAACCCCACCCCGCCCCCGGGTTGACCCGGGTCAACCCTAACCCCTCTCCTCTGAGGGTTGGGGTCACAAGTTGGATTCTATATGCATATCGACCCCTCCGACCCCCAAAACTCGGCCAGGTTTTAGTGACTCCCGGGTCAAAGGGAGTCACTGCATGTTTTTTTTTTTTTTTAAATTCCATGAAACAACATCGTTTTATTAAAAAAATAAAATAAAAATGCTTGCAGACCTAAATCTAATTGTTTTCTTCTCTCCCAGCGACATAAATGTCTTCAATCTTCACCTCGCTGCCGTGAATCTTCTAGAAAAGGTAAGAATTTTACCCATTCAAATGAAATACTAATGGTCGTTGATGGAAAACAAAAACTCATTCTTACTTCCTTTAAATTTTCCTTTGTCAGGGACCTTCTCAAAAGAGACAGAACCAGGTCAGCGTAGTGACCTCATTAGAATATGAGTTTTGTACTTTGACATCTTGATACTTTAATTAGGTTGTGTAATATTGACTTGTGGTTGTAATTGGTGAATTATGTTAAGTATATTTTGAATCTTTGATGATTGGTGGTTTGATTTTTAATATTTTCATATAGGATATATATATTTATATTTTTTTAATATATAAAATTGGGTTAGCGTAGTGACCCTGCAACCCCCCGGTGGAACCCGTGACCTCGGCCGGATCGATGGTCAGGCTGGGTTGTTAAATACTGACTCCAACACATGTGCATGCAGGCAAAAGTGCAAAATGAATATTGCTACATCCTCCATCACAGTAGTACAAATGAATAAAGGAGACAACACAATGGTTTTGTCATTTGATCGCATATTAGAATGTTCTTCATAGAATGGATCTTCTCATATGACATAAGGTCATCTGAAAGAATTTCAGCCGTTCAAATACAAATTAACGGTGATAGGGGAGTGCATTAAGATAAAGGGTGAAAAAACAATGACCGTTGATTTGTATCTAGACGATCGATTTATATTAAACTACATAGACAACAAGATAAATAAATAATACATACAGTCCAAAATGTTGTCAGATCATACTTTTTAACATCATAAGCTCTCTTTTGTGCCAGCAGTTTATACTCAATGTGATAAAATATATAATTTCAGTAGATCTGTAGAAACTCACAAAATGCGTATTCTCCCAAGTGTGTAAACTACCAAATTTATTCAACTAGTTTGTTGTCCGTAAACAGACAAATTAAACCCGTACATTCCACTCCCCACTCCAACTATGTGAATTGCCATATTTACACCAGAGTCAGCATTAATGATCAGCTAGTAATAATTTCATTACAAATATTAGGAGAATGAGTATAAATGTATAATTCAACAATATCTCTATTAGTATTTATAAACAAGAAAACAAGACAAAACTTATGATTCAGATAGAAGGAAACATATGAATATCTCTGTCAAAACCTATCTATAAATACCTTATACCTAAGTGTCAATAAACAGTTATAGTATAAGCAGAAATACCCACCTTGATGTTGAATTTCTTTCGCATACAAGTTCGGTAGAATCCTAAATACGCTCCAACAGTAACGATGAAGGCAACTGCTATGTACAGAAAGTAGGGACGCCTCGTGACAGTAAAGGCAATGAAGTTAAGCAAAGCACCGGTAGCAAGAAGAAAATAAACTATTGCCTGTAATACAAAGTAAGTAAATTTAAACTTCAGAGATATATTTTAAAAAATAAAAAAGATGAATATGGAAATCGCCAATTCTGAAAGTGATTCCCTTTAGTTAAAGTATTAAGCTATGGTTTGATAATTTGAATTTCCAAGCAATTTAAATATACCTGAATATAGCAAGAGCCAAAACCAGCTCGCTTCATGTTCTTCCCAAATCGGTAGCAAGGACAACTGCAACACAAAATGAGCTACTATTTATAGGCATGATATATCATACAAATCCTTGTAAACAACCGCAAACTCCCATCACATTATCCATGCAGAGTGTCTTTTGGCATTTTAGTCTTTCATTGGCCAAAAGCATTCAATGTGCAGAGAATGTCACAAATCCCTCACCCCGAGCTGAGAAAATAATAATAATAATAATAATAAATAGTAAAACCAGCCAGTTGTGAATGGAAACCCATCGCAAAAAAATGCTAAACCATTTCTTTCAAAATTATTATAACTAATGTTATTTTCCACCAAAACAAGGAAAAAGCATTCAAAATGAACAGTATCACTGCAAATTCACATCTTCAAATCATACAGAATATCAAACACAATCAATCATCTCAAAAGACAATTTTTTTTTTATTTATAAAAAAAGCACATAATACAGAAATTCACCATGCAGATTCAAGAGCGATAGTGCGGTCATCGAAGCAATCGAGGAGTTCACCCTCCCACATCCTCAAAACCCCACCGTGCTGTTCTTCATCGCCAGCACCAAGGGTTCCCCCAAGCTTCCCCCAAGTTCCATGCGCAGTTTGCAACGCCACTGAGGAGCAAAGCATGTCAAAATCCAAAACCGCCATGCCCTCCAAAAGCCTCTCTTTTTCTTCCTCCCCATCCCCTTCCTTTGCCTCCTCCAACACCACAACTCTCTCCAAATCCCCCATTGCCGCAAAACCCAAAATCCGCTTAGCCCTTTCTCTTCTTCTCTTCCCCCAACTACTCTATATTCTCCCCCAAAATCCCTCCTTTTCGTTTCTTTAAGACACCTCTCGCGGTTTTACTTTCTGGGTTTTCAGGAAAAAAGAAGAAAGATTAATTTTTTCAATTAAAAAAAAAAAAAAGACACAGTGCGGATTGTTATGTTGTTGGTGGGGCGTAGGTTTATGTAATGAAAGCTAGTGGGAGATGTTTGTTCCGGTTGGCTATATTATGATTATATTGTAATAGTGATCCCATGGTTGGCGGGTAATAATGGCGTGTGGAACCCATAAATGTCCGATTGGATCCTCTTCCGTTGAAAAAAAATATCATCTAGGTATGTTATTTGTCAAAGTAAAGTCTCTCGTAGTTTGTAACAAAAAATAGGAAACAATGACTCTCGAGATAAGATTCTCTCCTACACATTTTTTTATAATTTGTCATTTTTTTTAGGTGGTGGAGTACATAAGTTTGTCTCTATGATATGAGGTAACATATCTCCTTTAACATGAGATTAATAAAACGCTAAAAAATATGATCTCTGCTTTTGTTTCTTCTAAAAAAAACTTATATTAGTCTTTTTTTAGGGACTAAATAGGATTTTCATTTCATTTTTGAAGAATCACATTTTCAAAGAATTGGAATTGTAGAAAGACTAAATGTTGACTTTTTTTTGTAAGGGACAAAAGTGAAGACCATATTTTTTGTTAGGGACCCAAAATGTGTTTTACTCTATTTGTTATTTAATTACAACTATCTATTGATGATGAGATAAGATAGAAAAATTATATGATTTTTAAATAAATAATTATAATCGAATAACATGATCACATAATTATTTTTTCACATGAGATGATACAAATCCCTATTTAGGTGATAATGCTTTACCACATGATCACTAGAATATAGCTAAGATTTTTAGATTTTTCCCCCCAATTATTAAGAAAAATACTAATTTCATTTTATATCAAATAATTATTTGATGTTCTTTCATTTTGAAAATTTCAACCCCCTCTCACTTTTGGTCTCTTAATAATGGGTCCCACCTAAATTTTCTGTAAAATAAGAATAATATTTTCTAATTATTAATTACGGTCTACTAATTTTGATTTTGGATCTTCCTAAATGAAACTTCAGTCGTAAATAATAAACGTGATCAATTTCTCAGATAAGTGGAGAACACAAAAGATAAGTCAAACCTGCCCACCAAAAATTAAATATCTAAATTATAAAATTATTCCATTTTCTGTAGATTAAGTTTAAATTTAATACATAAAATAGGTTATATTATATTACTATGTATATTCGTGTGGAAAATTCAATGGTTTGAATGGATTGAATGTGTAGCCAAATTTACTGTCAAGGAATCAAGGCAAGTTGCGTTTTCTAGCATATGGCTTTTATGAATTTGATTGGTTATTGGGATATGGTAATAATAGACAACTTTCTTTAAAAAGTCGAAATCACGTATTAAATTAAAAAAAGGGGCTAAAAGTTAATCAGAAAGCGATGTTAGTATTCTATACTATTCTAATCTAATCATGAGTCTCTATTAGCAAATACTCAGTCAGGATGTTGATTACTAGTTCTAGGAGGAAATTACTAATTCAACCAATAAGAGGTTGCTAATATATATGTAACAAATCATTTGATTACTATTATAAATAGGTAATCCTTCCAATAATTACCTTAATTCAACCAATAAGAGGTTGCTAATATATATATGTAACAAATCATTATATTACTATTATAAATATGTAATCCTTCCAATAATTACCTTCTTAATAAATTGTTCCAAGATTTTAATTTTGAACCTCCCTCTCTCGTGTACAGCTCATTTACACCTTTGTTGGTGCAGAAGAAAACGAAAACTGTTGGATTAACACTTATTTTCATATTTTGTATAAAATTAAATATGCTATGCTATATACTGTTTTTTTGTTTATTTCCCGCAATATCTTTCACATGGTAAGTTTATATTAGAAAAACAGGCGATTATTTTTCGAAAATCTAAAGTTAAATAGGATTGCTTGTAATGGAAAAATTGAAATAATATTACTTCAATTTTGAAAGAATTAATATACTAAGTTTGTACAAATTGTAATTTTCAAATTGGTTAAATACATCGCTAAGTAATTGAATTAGAAAAACAGGCGATTATTTTTCGAAAATCTAAAGTTAAATAGGATTGCTTGTAATGGAAAAATTGAAATAATATTACTTCAATTTTGAAAGAATTAATATACTAAGTTTGTACAAATTGTAATTTTCAAATTGGTTAAATACATCGCTAAGTAATTGAATTATCATAATTTGTGATTATTGACAAAGTACTACTTCGATGAACAAAATAGAGATAATGAACAAATGGGAAGAATTAAAAAAAAAAAATATATTTCTGCTTGTTTGCGTTTAAAATGGACAAAAACCCACACCAAAAAAAAATAAAAAAAAAATAATGGACAAAAACCAATGTGCAAGGTTGTTGGGTCGGGTTAAACTTAAAAAGTTGGAGACTTGCCCTCTATATTATATCATTTTTATATAAGAGAGATATAAGGAAAAATTATAAAAGTGGGTGATGGGAGGTGAATTATAGACAGCGGCAAAGAAGACCGTGCCGTCATGTGTCATTGCCCACCAAACCTAAGCCACCTTGAGCTGTATTTTCACCATCTTGTGCCTTGACAAATGACAATGTTTTCTATTTTCCTTTTTGGGTTTAGCGTGTATTATTTAAAAAGATACAAGTTGTGTTTTTTTAGTGATTTACACAGAGTACGACTAGGGGTGCTAAACGAGTCAGGGCCTTACAGGGGCCTTTGGCTCAGCTCGTGAAGGCCTGAGCTTACATGTCTAAAATTGATTGTTGGACTCAGGCTTAGACTTGTATAAAAGCTCGTTTAATAAAAAGGTCTTAGGCTCCAATTCAAAAGCTCGGCCTTAGAGCCTCTCAGGCTTGCCTATTATATTAATATTTTTTTTATTTTTTATACTACTTGTGATAGCTCTCTCTCTTCTCAATTCATTTCATCCTATTTTATTAATTAAACAGACTTTTTAAATGATTTTGTTTTATATTATGCTATTTGGATATACATTAAATTTATGAATATTTATGGAATTACTAGTGCTGTTGATTGAATATTTTGTTTGGATAAATTTTTGTTGTATTATTTTTTTTAAACAGGCTAAACAAGGCTTTTTTTTTTGTAAATGAGTCAGGTCACATGCTGATATTATATTCGTAATAGGTAACAGGCTAAAGTCAGTCTGACACATTTGAACACAGGCTCGGCCCGTTAAGACCAAAGCTCGGCTCGGCTCGTTAACACCCCTAAGTACGACCAATTGTACTTTGTGTAATTCTAAAAAGTTACTTTTTTTCACTTTACACGTCAGCGATATGACTGAAAAAAGAGAGAGAAAAAGCAACTTTTCAGTTTTACCACACAAGGTACGACCGATCGTACTTTGTATAAAACAACTAAAATGACACAAGTTTGTGTCAATCAAAAGAATACTTCTTTTTCCCTTCCTTTTTACCTCCTTAATTGTATGCACGTAAAATTTTGTTAAAAAATACTTTATGGGTTTAACATATCTATTTTGCTGCTAAGTGTTGTCGAAAAAAAAAATTACACCAAACATAGAAATATTTTTCTCATACTTAATATTGTTAAATTTATTTTAAATTTATACTACCTACACTAATAATTTTTCAAATAACTTATGTATATATTCTGATAATTGTATACATTAATTTATATATTTTAATTATTATGAACTGCAATCAAATCTATTTTTTTCAATAAAAATAAGTTTTAAGTTATGACTATATGAACGGCATAAAATTCTCTTAATTAAGTGATTCTTTTGATTAGGCGTGAATATATATATAATTCTTATTAGTAAGATTAATCCCTTGAGCCATGATAAAAAGGAAACTAGGGTTAATCTTGTCGAAACAATTTTGCAACTTGACTTATTAATAATTGTGAACAAAAACTGATATCAATTATAGAGTAAAATCCTAATCTTTCAGCAGGAATATTAGAGTAAGCGTGACAATCTTTTGAAATAGCAAAAAATATATTTCGAAATAAATAAATCTAAATCTTTGATATTTTAATTTTATGCAATGTTAGTTTTATTATTCCTTAGATTTTTTTACCCTCAAAATTAAAGTATCTTCAATGCCTTACAAAATGATGGCCACAATTAACAAGTAGCAGCGTGTAGGGCATTTGCCTGAAAATGAAAGAGTTCCACACTTTGATTTAAGCTTTTGCTTTTTGTGGGGTTGTGGTTTTTGCATCTCGTTCGTATGTAAGAGCGGAATGCAACAGCTCCCGTGCATTCAGCTATTCTGATGGGATTAGACTTTACAGATAATAATGTTAGATTTGGACAAATTCCCTTTTCACGTGACTATTGCAGGTCCTGGTCATCTTCACGAAAAATAATTTAATACCAAAGTCGGGAAGTGATGTTCACACCAAAATGTCAATTATATGCAAATGCAACAACCAAAATCAATTTTATTATTACTTTTTTTATGTAACCGATCAAACTCGGCAAACCACTATCCATCAAAATTTTATAGCTGTCTATTACTAATTGAAGAGTTAGCAATTGCTTGTTTGGTAAATTCAAATTAAGAGCTAATTAACAATCTAATTCCTGCTTATCAGGGTCTCATCTATTTATAATTGGCTTTTTGACCCTTATAACCCTTTACTAATAATTAATTACCAAATTGACCTTCATTATAAACTATTTCAAAAATTTAACCCCCTCAAAAAACATAACACCAATCTGCCTATGTTTGACCGTTGACCACGAAGCCTACCCGGGTACACCCCTATCTACCCGGGTATATTTTGAAATTTTTTGTTTACCCGGATAGAAAAATATGTACCCGGGTATTGTTCTTGATTGCTTGAATTATTTACCCGGGTACGGATGAGTGTACCCGGGTAAATCTTGTATCAGAGACTTTGAGACTTTGTAACACCACTATCCCAAGCGCATAATTTAGTGCACCTTGGCATTCCAACTCGTGTAACACCACTGGAGATTATAAGCTAACCATTTGTTCCTAAATCTATACATAGAATTGTTTGACATACCAGAAACGGAAGGACAGTAATATATAGTAGAGACATTGGAAAAAAAAAAACACACACACACAAAGAAACAAAAATTGTCTGTATTCATTTATTCAGAAGGAAACGATAGTTGATAATTCACGAACTCCAAAATTGGGCATACAAGATTTACCCGGGTACACTAATCCGTACCCGGGTAAATAATTCAAGCAATCAAGAACAATACCCGGGTACACACCTTTTTACCCGGGTAAACAAAAAATTTCAAAATATACCCGGGTAGGTAGGGGTGTACCCGGGTAGGCTTCGTGGTCAACGGTCAAACAGGGGCAGATTGGTGTTATGTTTTTTGAGAGGGTTAAATTTTTGAAATAGTTTATAATGAAGGTCAATTTGGTAATTAATTATTAGTAAAGGGTTATAAGGGTCAAAAAGCCATTTATAATTACTTGACCTCTTCAACGTAGGGTGTTGGAAGGTGGAGATATAGCCAGGAATATTGTGGAGATAAAATTTTAAAATTTACCCTACCTAACTTTAGAAATATTTAAATGTTTAAAAAGCTTACAAAATTTCTCTAGTAAATATCTTCATTAATCATCTAAAAAATTTACAATTAGTTTTCTAAAAATTCTTGTAAAATCTAATTAATCTAATCTATTCAGGGATCTATCCTGTTCTTGAATTGTTATGGTTTAAGAATGATGAATACTTCAAAATGTTCATTGTATTGGTCTTTTATATCCACCATATCAAATCCTTGGCCTAGATTTTATAATTTCTTACGTCTTAAAATCATAGTTCACAACACAAGGGCCAAGCATATGAATATAAAAAATACAGGTAATGTTTGATCTGGACAAATTTCTTATCACGTGACTAGAAGGTCCAGCTCATGTTCACGCCCAAATATCAATTATATACAATAACCAAAATCAATATTATTATTATCTTTTTGTCATGTACCCGAACCAAGTTGGTATACAACTATCCATCAAAGTTTTATAGCTGTTTAATAATTTAATATTGACTAACTCCACCTACCATGGTAGATGATTCTATATCGCCTACCAATCTACGTTGATGCTCCCCTACCCGTGCACAATAGGGCTACTATACAGCTTAGATTGCGTCCTATATACATTTTAATATTTCCAAGCACCAGTATTAATGGAACAAGCTCACTTTTCAAATTATAAGGTAGAAAAATAAAATAAAAATTACACGAAGTAGAACAGGTCTTTTCTTTTTTCTTTTTTTGGTACAAGAAGTAGAACAGCTCTTAGATAAGACAGATAATGATGAGTATAATACGGTAACATGAAGAAGTTAATGCACATTTTTCTTATCCCGAATGGAGTATCATACACCCGACAAGCTAAATCAATTGGGCTTCAAGTCTTCATTGCAGGTCTAACCAGCCCCAACCCAGAACCACTTCCCAAATGCTTGAAATCTCTGGCTTCAAGATGATCCCCATGACCGGCAAAACCTGTCCCACCTTTCTCCAAATTCACCAAATGTCTCTCTTTACATGCCTTGTCGCAAACAAGGCAAACCTTATCCACAGCCATAAATCTGTCAGCACATTTTTTGCAAAATACATGCCCACATGAACTAAGAGCCACAAGTGACATTGTGTTGGTGAGAGTAACTTTGCAGCTAGGACAAATGTAGGTCCTATCAAAAGCCTTGGATTTTTTCTGCTCACTAGTATCTTCAGTGAACAGGACAGGGAATAGTGTCTTTAACTTCAGTTTCTCATTGCCTTCTGGACAGATGGTATTGGTAGAAGGTGCTTCTACTTTAACAGAAGCTTCTGGCGTAGCAGAAGGAAGCCAAAATGCCTTCATTGTCCGAAGGGCTTCCTCCTCATAGGAAGTGACCTTCACACTGTTTGCCCCATGGAAACCATTCTTATCACGGCTATAATTTCTATCACTGTATTGTGGAACGGCACCATGATTTTGCTGATCAAAAGCATCAAGCTCTTTAGCCTTTTGCAACATCAATCTCTCTTCTTCCTCTTCTTTTTCTTGCTTCTGCTGAGCAGCATGTGCCACAAGCTTCCTGTTTTGTTGTAAATATCAACATCACAACTACATCATTAAGGTTCTCCAACATAACAGTGTTTATATCCATACCAGGAAAAAACATAACATAAACAAAGATAATATATATTTAAAGTTCTGAGCAATTAATGGAAGTTATTCTCCATAAAAACTCAGAACAGCAGCCTCTGGATAAAACTGGTAAATTCATTTTGTATATTATAAGAAAAATACAAAATCTCAGCAACCGTTGATAGAACAAAAAGTTTAACAACTCATGCAACATCCAAAACAAGTTATGGCCCCTAAGGGGCAAGATAAAATATATTAAGAAAATTTTCTGATGCATTATAAATTATACCAACATTGATGACAAAGGAAAGTAAAACTAAATTGAGCAAATTGAAAGCTCATTGAAGAGTGGTATCGATGGTCAACTGGAACCATATTCCAGATTTAAAAAATGCTGATGGCAAGTACATGCTATGAAGCATACAACTTCAGTGGCACACAAAAATGAGCAGAATCGTGATATGGCAATCATCAGATAGACAGCAACACTTGGTAAATAATGTGGTTATGAGAAAAATTTATACTTTTTCTCGTTAGTTAATTCACAGAAAGTCAAAGTATTCAGAAATCCCCCTAATTATCATTTCAATATTTCATTATCATAATCACACATAGCATACAAGAGTGCCTTAAATCTTGGATTTTATCCTTTCTTGCAAGACATTTGCCACAAAACTGGGAAACGAAAAAGGGGCTAAAAAGGGATATCCATATAATCCTGTATTATTCTCTAAAAAAAACCTGATTAAATCCGTATTAAGAACCCCACAAGTTAATTATTCAAATCCTACAGAGCAAGCAAACTTCTTGAACAAGAGAATAATTTCTTAAATTTTCTCACTAACCTGTTTCCAAATTTTAAATAAGTGGTGTCCCGCTCAAAAAAATTAAAATCATAGTTCATTAAACTTTTCAGTTTTCATCATGTAATATGTTCAAACTTTCATTGTTATCAGTTCCTCTTGTTCATATTTAATCATCATCTAGCATGCAAACATGTATGTATACCCATTTTAAAAGCCAATAAGCACATATATATAATATGATATTTTATTTCAAAATTGGAGCTACTGTCACCATGAGGCAACCTCCTCTTTCCATAATCCAAATTCCAAACTCATGCAAAGTATATTCTTATTTGTCAATTTTTTCTTCAAGCTTTCTACCGACACTTGTCTCAAATCTTAAATAGGACATCACAGGTTAACAAAACCTTGAATCCGCATCTTGCATTAATGCTTCCATCCGGTGAGACATGAAAAAGAAAGGACTAATATTCATGAACAGGAGACCACCCTCCCCAGCGTGCTATACGCCAATACCCAGTTGCAATGGATGAAATTCAACTAAAACTCACAAAACAAATTTCAGTATTGCAGAAAGGATGCCTTAGACTATACAGCTCAACAAGCCATATTCCAAAGCATTCAAAAGTAGTGAGGGCGATTGATTATGAAAAAGAATAAAGCTATCTTGTAGAGAACTTCCTCTATGAATGCCACAACCCTAGCAAAATTATGCAGATTCTTTGTATGTCAGTAGCACCATACGGCTTTGAAAAAAAAAAATCATATCCAAATGGCAATAAGAACATACTTTGAACTTTTCACATTCACATCTAACCATAAAACCACAGTGATCCCATTCCCACCCTTACTCCAATGAAGATAACTACGAACGACCAATGAATTTCAATCATGCATGCACTTCAACTTGTATCCTATACTTCATAACTTCAACTAGAGAATTCAAACTAAATTAACATTAAACAAAATAGAAAATAGCATTGCAAGGTGCAACGGTTAGGAGAAGGCTTAGAATAAAAAAGGTTCATCCCTAACTATTTCTCTGAAACGAAAAAAATAAAATAATAAGGAAACCACAGAAGAGAAAGAGGGAGAATTAATGTTAGAAAACCTTTGAATGTCTTTCTTCTGAGACAACAAGCACTGGAGAATGCACTCTTTACAAAAGACATGTCCTTTTTGGCAGCTCATAGGGTCAATTAAGGGTTTGAGGCAGAGGCAGCAAGCATCGAAGGGCTTAATGGAGTCCCTGCCCAGCCTCTCCTTTTGGGTCCCATACCCAAGTTTCCGCTTCTCATCGTACGTGAAGAACGCGAGATCGTTGTTGTTTTTCGAGTGTCTCTGAGGCATCTCTTTCCCCAATCACAATTTTCAAATTTCAGAGCGTCGATTCGATCGTCCTCTAGACTTTCGAAAATTTCACAGAATGATGGAATAGGGTTTCAGATCTTCAACCTAAAAAACCCTTCGATTTGATTCCCAAATTTCATAACGAAGGAGAGAAGGAGGCGCAAAGGGCCTGCTAATGGGCTTCTGAGTTTTAATGGGCTTTGCAAATATGTATTTTTGTCAATATTTTCCTAAGTTTATCTCATGGTACTAATAATTATAAATCGACAAATAATCAATAATTAACAAAATCAAAGAATAACATTTTTTTCAGGTATACAAAGAATAACCTTCTTAATATTTAATTAATATAGTCAATGAATATAAGAAAATGTTATATTTATAAACTTTTACAAGTTAAATTATATATTTGAGGAAATACAGATATTTATATGTGTATTTCTAATAATAAAAACACTTTAAGTGTATATTTTTCGGAATATATAGTTTAAACTTGTAAATAAAAATTTTGTAACTTTTCATAAATATATGAATTTTATATTTATTACATTGCAGGAAGATACAATTAGAGGGGGGGCCATGATATTTTTCTTTTTAAAAAAAAAAAAAAAAAGGCACTCCTACCGATTGTTGGAATAAATTTTCGGTGCTATATTGCACCAAGATTCAGTGCATCCCATCAATGGGAGCATGACACATCTTAGAAGAGATAAAAAATTTGGTAGAGAAAAAAAGCTTTAACTGACATATAATATTTTTATTGGTGGGATGTACTGAATCTTTAGTGCAACAGTAACACCAAAAATTTATTCCGATTGCTGAGTGGGAATATGTTTCTATGTTATGTAACATTACATTATGTATACGTAGAAAAAGTGGTGTATTATTTTTTATTTTGGTATGCAAAGTGGTGTATTATTTTAAAGATGTAAAGTTGTGTCATTTTAAGTGAGAGAAAGAGATAGATTATGGAGTAGAGAGTGGACAAAATAAAAATAAAAATATGAGTCTCATCTCTTTATAAGAGTAAAATAATATAAATTATGTTATTTAAAAAGACAAATATTATCATAAGATTTGATCGGTGGTACTGTTTGGTTCCTGCTAATTATAATTCTTAAGAAGGAAAAGAGATTCAAATTCAAAATTGAATTAATTGGCCGTTAAAATTTAGTACAACGAATGTAATAAAAAAGAAGAAGCATATATTACAGTTTGAAGGGTTTATTTGTTGAATTTGGATTCTTTCGTATGAAAAAGTGATCATATAATTATATTATTTTATCACAATTATTCATTGATGATAAGATAAAAGAGAAAAAAAAATAATTTTTAAATAAGTAATTGTAATCAAATAACATAATCACGTAATTACTTTTATACACTAGAGCATCCAAATCCTTCTTTATTTGTTTGAGAAAAGTACAGTTGACAGAACACTCATCATCGATATTTGTTGTTCTTTGTTGAAAAATGAAGCAAAAATATAACTACAGTCACCGACAAAATACACAAGGAAAAACAAGTTCGCAACTCTTCTCAACTCAAAGCATGTGAGATCCGCCTTTTTTGCTATTTATTTATTCAAGTAATACAAGCTTCATGGCTTAATATGCCAAAAACTATTAGGATCAGCCATCCAGACGTGGTTGATCCAGCTTTGAATATATTTTTTAACATAAAACTCCACTTAAACGTGATTAAAAAAGCACAGAATATTACTCAACTTTATTACATCAAATTCAAGCAGCTACGATTTTGTCGTTCATTGTAGAAAGCACTTGGGCTCATAAGAGACTTTCGACATGTGTGGATACCAAAGGGCATTGTAGTAGTGACTATAATTCCCAGATAAAGGCTGTATCCATGATGTAGAATATTTTCCTTTTGCGTAATTGGTTCCCACATGCACACTATTGTACAATCTGAGACAAATGAGAGAGAAAAACCAACGGTTTTGGAGCTGATAGAATCCAAGGAATAAGCTCGGAAAAACTCCCCGAAAAGTATCTCTCGAGTTCGTGGTGGTAAATTTTGGCAAAAGCATACACTTACAACCACAAACACCCTCGAGCTCTTCTTCCAAAGCAACCATTTCACACACAAAGTCATTGCGAATTAAATTCCCACCCCCACCTCCTTTCTCGATTCCTTCAAATCTCGTTGGCTAACTTGACATTAATTTAGTTTAACATTCTTTAGGATAGTATTATCCATGCTCAACTTGCTACTTAAATAATAAATTATGTTTATGGAAGGCACGTGGACGTGTCGGATTTGCTTGGTCCCACTTCCATATTCTAAGGTTCAAAATAAGTTTATTCTATACTTGTGAATTCACATTAGAGGCTGTTCTTTCCTTTTTTTAATCGAAGACACAGCTTGCTTCTGTTATACTCCTACAAATATATTTGATGATCGCTTTTATTTAATACCAGGTGATCATCGAGTGTATTGTTTATAGAAGTAGTCTTGGAATAGAAGATTCTATATGTTGTTATGATTTGCTGTGATATGTTGTAACATGTAGTTTGTTAGGATATGTATAACTGAGTCCTATTGTAATTAGGTGTAGTTACTTATCTTTAGGAAGTTGTTTTACTATTTGGTAACAGACGGTTTGGTAACAGCCATAACAGCCCGTAACAGCCTATTCTATTCCAAATAGTATTTCCATTGATAGTACATCAATGTATCTTCTATTCCAACACTCCCCCTCAAGTTGGAGCATGAAGACATGAAATGCCTAACTTGGAAAGAACGGCAAGAAATGGAACACGACCAAGTGCTTTGGTGAAAATGTCTGCGAGTTGCAAATGAGAACGAACAAAAGTAGTTCGAATCGTCTTAGAAACCAACCTTTCCCGGACAAAATGGCAATCAATTTCAATGTGTTTAGTTCGCTCATGGAACACAGGATTTGCCGCGATATGTATAGCGGCTTGATTATCACAACATAATTCCATAGGATCATCATGGATAACATCAAGTGAAGCAAGAAAAGACTTCAACCATATCAATTCTGCTGTAGCGGCAGCCATGGAGCGGTACTCAGCCTCTGCTGAGGAGCGTGAGACAGTGAGTTGCTTCTTTGTTTTCCAAGAAACAGGTGAGGTTCCAAGCATAATGAAGAACCCAGAAACTGACCGGCGAGTTAAAGGGCAGCTGGCCCAATCTGAATCACAGAAAGCATGAATTTTGAGATCACTTTTGGAAGAAAGGAGGATACCTTGGCCAGGATTCATTTTGATGTATCTTAGTACCCGAATGGCAGCCTCATAATGTGCTTCCTTTGGAGCTTGCATGAACTGTGAAAGAGTGTGCACTACATAACTCAAATCAGGACGAGTGATCGTAAGGTACACTAGCTTGCCGACAATTCTTCTATAGCGACCTGGATCATCATAGTCAGGTCCATCTGCCAGAGCTAAGCGATGATTCTGTTCAATTGGAAACTGAACCGGTTTACAATCCAACAAACCTGTTTCTTTGAGGATATCTAATGCATATTTTCGTTGGCACAAGAAGATACCCTCATTGCTACGGGCAACCTCGATGCCCAAAAAATATTTCAAGTGACCCAAATCTTTAATTTTAAAACACTTGTTAAGATAAATCTTAACCTCTTGACATGCTTGGGAATCATTGCCTGCCAACACCAAATCATCAACATAGACTAGTATGGTCAAGAAGGTAGAACCACGCTTCAAAGTGAACAAAGTGTGATCTGCTTCGGATTGAACAAAACCGTATTTAATAAGTGAGGAACTCAACTTTGCAAACCAATTCCTGGGAGATTGTCGTAAGCCATATAACGACCTTTGCAAACGACACACTTTTCTTCCTTGTCCTTGATTAAAGCCTGCCGGTATGCGCATATACACTTCTTCGTCCAGTTCTCCATTAAGAAACGCATTATGAACATCCATTTGGTGCAAGTACCAACCTTTTGCAGCTGTAACCGAGAGTAGAGTTCTAACACTCACCATTTTCGCTACAGGAGCGTAAGTTTCATGGAAATCTTCTCCTGGAACTTGATGATTACCTGCAATTACCAACCTTGCTTTGTAGCGCTCGATGCTACCATTGGAATGATATTTAATTTTATATACCCATTTACATGGAAGGGCATGTTTGCCTGCAGGTAAATCAGTGATAGTCCACGTATTATTTTCTTCTAGTGCATGTATCTCCTGAGCCATAGCTTTACGCCAAACATCATTGGTCATTGCTTCTTTAAATGACCGAGGTTCACTACCTGCATCAATAGCATCAACAAAAACTCGATGTTTTGAAGAAAAATTGTTAGTATTCACATAGTTGGCAATTGGATACCGTATACCTGAGGTGGAGCTAGAAGAGGTGAAACTGGGAGTGTATGTATGTGCCTCAATCAGATTACATTTGTAGTTACTCAAATAGGACGGAGGCCTTTGTGTGCGTGCTGGACGAAGAGAATCGTTTTGAGCTGATTCTGCACTTCTTTGCACAAGTTCGTGAGCTGAATCTTCATTCCTTTGTATGAGAGCAGGAGCTGGATCCTCACTCCTTTGCACTTGATCAGCATTTGATGTAGAATCTTCATTCGGCTCCCTTTCAGACTGATGGACACTCCCCCTATCTTCCAACTGCACTTCTGCCTCACAATCATTTGAAGTTGATTGAGATACTGGATTGGCAGAATCATTAGAATCTATTGGTATAAATGTAGGTAATGATGGGCTAGGTGTAGGCACACTTATAGCAACAAAAGGAAACTCATCTTCGTGGAAACTGACATCTCGTGACACAAAGAATTCCTTAGTATTAAGATCATACACTCTCCAACCTTTCTGCCCATGAGGATAACCAACAAACATACACCGCCTAGACCGTGGACTAAATTTGTTTGTAGGTTTTGGTTGTGTCACCGCATAACATAGGCAGCCAAATATCCTTAAGTGACTGTAATCAGCAACAGATCCATGCAAAAGCTCATAAGGAGTTTTGCCATTGAGAAGCTTTGTGGGAGTTCTATTAATAATATGAGTTGCTGTCATCACACTCTCTCCCCAGAATTTGATTGGCAAGTTTGCTTGAAACAAAAGAGCACGAGACACATTTAGAATATGCCTATGCTTCCGTTCTACCCGACCGTTCTGTTGCGGCGTATGAACACAGGATTTCTGATGAAATATACCATTGGCAGTGAATAATTCAATCATCTTGTTGGAAGTAAATTCAGTTCCATTATCTGATCTAATACTCTTAACTGTTGTATTAAACTGATTTTGCACCATTAAAAGAAATTTTCGTAACACACCAAAAGTTTCACTTTTGTCACCTATCAAACAAACCCAAACAGCACAACTGAAGTCATCGACTATCGTTAAAAAATAATAAGCACCAGAGAAAGAGGAAGTGCGGTAAGGACCCCATGTATCACAATGAAGAAGATCAAAAATTTTATTACTCTTTTGATCACTAATGGGAAACGAGGATCGATTTTGTTTGGCACGATAACAAATATCGCATGCCTTATTGTTTACATTGCCAAATCGAATGCTACTAGAAAAAGGAATCAGAGAAAGTGCTTCGGATGATGCATGGCCCAACCGCTTGTGCCAAAGTTCTTGCGTATCACTGGAGCGAACTGTTAAAGCTGCTGCTTGGCTTGGTCGAAACACATACACACCATCCCTGTGATCACCCAATCCAATCTCCGTCCTCAGCTTGCGGTCCTGCAAAACACAACTATTATTAGTGAATACCACATCAACATTATGTTGTCGTACCAACTGAGATACAGATATCAAGTTACACTTTAAATTTGGCACAAATAAGACATTGGATAATGAAAAAGAAGGAGTAAACGAAACAGATCCTTGTTGCACAGCATAAGTAATAGCTCCATTGGGTAAACCGATTGGCAAAGGTTCAACATCTGTAACATTCTCCAGCAATTCCAATACCCCTGTCATGTGGCGTGATGCACCACTATCTATAAGCCAGTGACAATGGGAATCTTTACGATTTAATTTGTCCTTTGAGCGTTGCGGGTTGTCAACCAATGATAACAATTGTGTCACCACGTCAGGTGTCAGAACGGCGAATGCATTTGCTTGCTCTAGTGGTTCCTCCGTTTGAGCTGCGTGTGCACCAAATGGCTTTGCATGGAATCCTCCTTGTGGGTTACTGCTCCAATTCTCGTAGTTGGCTTCTCCTTTCAGCATAACGGTTGTTAAAAGAATCCCTGGGCTATCTGATCCAGTCAGATAGAATGATGATCCAAGGTCTGATGGCTTCAACCTACTGCTGTTTTCATTGGCCATCTTCAACAGAAGCTATCTTCTGCTCACTGTTTTCAGAGTCTACACGTTGCGAAAGTTTTTTTTTTTTTTTTAACAAGGCATCGCTCTGATACCATGTAAAGAACCTTGGGATACACCACCCCAAAAGCTAGCTCAAAGGAAAGGATGAGAGTGCCCAAGGCCTTATAAACTCCACATTAGTTGCACATCTAACCAATGTGGGACTATATATCTCAACACGTCACCTCACGCAAGAGCCCTTTGGGCTAGAAGCGTGGAATTGCACAGGCCCAATTTTTGGTTTACCTTTTTGTGCTTTTTTTTATTTTAATTCCACTTGAAAGTTGGGGGCCGTGAGAATCGAACTTGTGACCTTATAGTCAACTCAAGCTCTGATACCATGATAAATGGTATCAATTGATAGTATTTCCATTGTTACTTATCTTTAGGAAGTTGTTTTACTATTTGGTAACAGACGGTTTGGTAACAGCCGTAACAACCCGTAACAGCCTATTCTATTTAAGATACATTGATGTACAGTTTTAAATCAATGAAAATACTATCAATTGATACCATTTATCAAGTACATATTCTAGGCAATCTACCCTAGTTGAAAGATCAGACAATTCCTCAACCAGTAAGAATCGATCGCTGTTAAGAATTAAATTGTACTCGCATTTCAGGTTGGAAGGAAGGAGGGCCATGCTATCACATCAAACAGAACTTGAACGCATGAAATGTGATTAAAATTAAACTACTCTAATTAATAGATAAATCCAATAATTAATGCAAGTGGGTAATCTTTGATTTGAACCGCAACTTTAATGCTCTATAATTGTGAACTTGTGACCCTTCATAATTTACAAAAACAAGTTAAGTCGAAATCAATAGTAGTGTCTGTTGGCATTTAGAAAAACACAAATATCGTGAGGGGTTTCAAATTTCCCAAATCAAGCAGTCAGATAAAACAAACAGAATCACATAAAAATATTCTGATATTTGGTGCAGTATTATTGCTTCATTTCAAGTATACAAATATATTATATATTTTGATATTTTACAATATTGGCATTCGGAAACCATGTCATTACTATGATTTAAACAGAACCACATAATTTTTTATTAAGTTTCACATGAAAAGGAAAATGAAAAGGTCCGATTTGTGAAAAAATATTATAGATTTGCAATGTTACAGAAAGAGTGGATTCATGATTTGTTACCTCTAATCTATCAGTCACGAAACAATCAATATCTTCAAAAGGATCTTCAAGAATTTTCTTTCAGTTGGAAGACGATTCATCCACAAGCAGTCCTCAATAATTTTCTCATATTTTTTTGGTTTGAAAGAAAAGCCTTGGAGTTGGAGATCTTTATTAGTCTATGACCATACATGACAAGCCTAAAATCCTCAAAATTAGAAAGAAAGAAAAAAAAGAACAGAGGAAGAAAACCATGACATTGGAAGGTTTATAGACAGAGCACATGCTTCAGTATCAAAGAAGACATTAGTCTGAGACACCATCTTCACCATTTGAAGAACTAGAAACTGGTGGTGGCGGTGTAGATGTCCATGGAACCACTTGATTTTCCTCTTCATTTTCTTCCACACCAACATCATCGTTTTCTATATCATCCTCCTCCGTGTCGTCGTCGTCATCATCGTAATCATCATCGTCATGTTGATTGCAGGTCTCATTATTATTGCTAACACAAACGTTGCAAACGGAGATGGTGGGTACAAACTTGGGTCCCGTGCCATGCCAAGCTGTTTGTGTTTGACAAATATTGCAGAGAAGAATCCTGGGATGCTTAGTGACGAGAAAGTTTGCACTGTGAACCTTCGCATCGCATTCCCAACAAAGGCTGGCTTGATCTGATTCACAGAACAACTTTGCTGGACACTTGCAGAGCTCGCACTTCTTCATCTCAAACTTAAATCGCTTTATCTCTCTTGTTATAGGCAGAGGCTACATATACTAAATTGTGTACAAAAAATAGAATACAATGGTGTCTGGCAAGTTGCAGCTATTAAAAACCTCTCCTGTTTTCTCTCTCCTAGGTGGAAAAATTGATAGAGAGAGAGAACTATAGTTGTTTATGACTTGGGAGTCAAACAAGTTGATTACTCTGTTAGTTTCAACGCCATTGGTGCACTTGATTGGATGTTTTTGGGTGGATTTGGACAAAGAAAATATGATTGGGTTATTAAGACAAAGTCATTGCATTAAGTCCTTCCAATACACAAGTTAAGAGTTATTTGTTAATAGTTATTTGCTAGGGGTGTGAATCACAATTTTTTTGGAATTTTTTTTTTAATTTTTATTTTCGAGAACAGAAATAGATATAAAATTTGTTTGATAAAATTGATTTTTTTTTCCCAGAATAAATCGATTTAATTTTGGTGTTGGGGAACAGAAAAAAAAAAGAATTAATTTTTTTTTTTTGCTTTTTAGTTTTCGGGCATAAAATGTGAAAAAATCGTCTCTCTCGACCACTCTTCCCCATTATCATCATCATCACCATCACTATTATTACCACCACCATCGCCGCGGCCACTACCGTCGCCGCCGCCACTATCACCATCACTACCACTGTTGCTGCCGCCGCCACTACCACCACCACACCTTATGAAAAGAAAAGTAATGATTCAAAAAAAATTATGCTTAATAGGAATTATTTTTTATTATATTATTTGTTTTGTTATCAAAAGCAATTCTCATTCTCGGAATAAAAATAGAACATGTTATTAAACACATTTTTTTCTCAGAAATTGTTCCAAGGAACATAAATAAATAAAAAATTATTTCTTTTCAGAAACACTGCCAGGTAACAGAATGTGATTCTTTTATGGGATAAGTTATTCTCATTCTCAGAATAAAAATAGAACATGTTATTAAACACATTTTTTTCTCAGAAACTGTTCCAAGGAACATAAATAAAAATAACAGAATTATTTTTCTTATCCTAAATGTATATCTATTTATGGAATGTGATTCTTTTATGGGATAAGTTATTCTATTTACCTTTTTTTATACCTACCTTACATATCAATTTTTAATATTGTTAGATCAGAATCTCAACTAACCTTTATCATTTCCCTCTTCTATTGAGATTCTGATATAATGGCGTTGAAGATGTTATTTGTGATAGTGCAAAAATATGTGTTGTTGGTTATGGTGATATCATTAAAACACAAAATTGCATGTAATCACAAAAAAAACAGTATGTAATATTCAAGGCATAAAAGTTGCATAAAATCAAACTCGAGCCCATATTATATATTGTTTCTTTAAGACAATTTTCCCCCCTCAACAATGTGTAAGATTCGTGGACAAATGCCTCCTATAATAGAACGGGTTACCTCTGTTTCGATGGTGGCACTACCAGAAGAAACAACACTAACAAATATAACGAATGCTGAACAATCGCAGACCAAGGCAGTGTGTGAGGATAAGTTTTGACAGAGTTTCGGTAAGGAGTCAGGAAAAAAATTCTATTTTGAGTTTACAGAACACTTGTATTTATATAGATGAATGATCACAGGATAAAAATGCATGACTTTTCATAAACAAAAATACGCAACTATTCACAAGTGAATAGATGCGACTGTTCGCAAGCGAAGAGGCGCGACCATTGGAAACGAAAAGACACGACTCTTCAAACTTCTTATTCACCCACCACCTTAAGCTTTTGGGTTGAATTGGTTCTTTACATGGTATCAGAGCCTCATGTCCCGGGTTAGATCCTCACCGCCCCCCACTTTCTTTCTAGTGGAATTTCTTTCTTCGCATAAGTAGGTGAGTCTGTGCATTGTCCACTCTTCAAGTCCAGTGGACTCTCGTGTGAGGGGGCGTGTTGAGATATATAAAACTATTAAAAAGTCCTCCCCCACCAGCTTAAACTTTTGGGTTGAATTGGTTCTTTACAGTTTCCAGTATTGTGCAATATTTTGCTTAACATGCACATGACAAAAGATTGAATGAAAAATATTTCCAAATTGCATTTCTGACTAAGTTTAGTTATGATAATTGCAGCTGGTGCAAAACCCATTAGCAAAATGATTATGATGTGATAAATTCCGTAACATAAGGCAAACTATTTGAGAATTTCTGGCTCTAATGTGAGAATTCGGTGGATAAGATACTATTAAAGTGGCTCGGGTGAGCACCACCCAGAGCTTGCCACATCAGATAGCATTAATTAATTTTTTTAATTATCCTCATTGCTGACATTTCTAGAGCTTTGTGTGTTATCCTTTTCTTTTTCTGTATGTGGTTTTCCCTTTGATGATTATGCACAGATACACTTAATTATGCCCCTCTGCATCTGAACAAATAAATTTCATATGGACCGCCATTGGCCAAATCTGAGCATTGATTTTTGGAAAATAACTTGGCAAAGAATAGGTGACACGTGTCTAGAACCATGTGATCAATGTATTTCTGTGGGCTTCCTTGTACTGTTTGCTTAATTTCTCTTGGAGGAGGTGGTCTTGGTTTAGAGGTTGGTATGTTCTCCTTATGGCATTGAACAGTACAATACAAAATCTTTGTGGTTTTGGGTATACTTTGTTTACTTGGTGGACACATCCATTCACAAATGTACAAGATTGAACAAATTATGAGCAATACATGCGTGTTATGAGAAATGTTCTTGTGCATGCTTAGAGTTAAGTGTGTGATCTTTTAAAGAATATAAATTTTATTATTTTAATTTTTATCATTATATATTACGAATAATATATAGTTATAATATGAAAAAAAAATTATCTTCACTTAGCTGACATGAAGAGAGAATAAATAATTATGTACTACCCGTAATATATAATTTTAAAAATTAAAATGATACAATTTGTGTCTCTAAAAGAACAAATCTTTTTCTTATACTTACATAATTATATTTAAGGATTTAGATCCTTCAAAGTGATCGTCACTTTGGATGATAAAATATAATTATAAATTATGAATAAATTACGATAATATATTATCATACATATTGACGGGAACGGTAATTGTATAAGCATATTTAAGACACGTATGTAGTGAGAATTGAGGAGGAAAATTGTTAGTTTGTTACGAAGACTCAAAAATGTGAAATACATGCTCGTTAAAATAATAAAATCAATAAGAATATTTAGAGCATGTTTGGATCCTCTTATTTTTAAGCTAGAAGCTACTTATAAGCTAAAGCTAAAAAAAAGAGCTTAAAAAAATAAGCTAAAAGCTGTTTGGAAATTACATAAAAGTTTTAGCTTAAAAATTACTTAAAAGCACATATTTCAAGAAAATTATCTCTTTCTATCTTTATCACTCTTTATTTTAAAAAAAAGCATACAATTCAAGAAAAACAGATAAGAGCTTAAAAAAAGCTCCTCCTAGGAGCTTTTAATTTTCAGCTTTTTTCTTCATTATAAAAAAAAGAGCTTTTCGTTATAAGAGCTTTTCCCAAAACCTGTTTGGCCTAGCTTATGCTTATAAGTAGCTTGTAGCTTAAAAAAAAGAGGATCCAAACAGGCACTTAGTATTCGCTTCGTTGAGCTTTCTTTCATTTGTTTTTAGAAGATTCTTTACTCTGATAAACAAAACTCAAATCTTTTTCTTATTACATATATTCATAATTTATTATTAAAATATTTGAATTTTAAAAAATATATCTCATATTTTATCTCTCGACTCTCGACAATTATAATCGAAACTACTATGTTCTATTTTAAGTATATATAATTATATAGTGACAAAAATATAAAAGGATAATATTTTACATATCACTTGCATTACTTTTAATATACGCATAGGATTAATACATCATATAAAAATAGCATGTACCCTTAGGGACCCATCCCTATGTAAAAAAATCATCACAAAAACAATGCGAGGGAAAGAGTACCAAGGTTAAAAAAAATATTTTTGGTAAAAAAAAAAACAATATTTAGTCCTGTGAAAATGGATCAAGGCTATTGGTCATGTTCTTAATTTTTTTTTACTTGACGAAAATAATTGGGGAATCTGTCACCTTGTATGTCATGGAAACTAGTATGCATATTTTGTTGCAATAATGCAATAAAAGAACTGTGTGGTGTTACAATTATTGTTGTCAAAAACATAAAAACTTAGAAACCGTATAAACACAATATAAAAATGCGTAAAAACATAAGTAAAAATAGGTAAAAATGCGGCTAGAAACATAAAATTGGTAGAAATGCAAGTTTTTACATTTTTTTACTGTTTTTACTTAAACTTAATTTTTTTATTTATTTTTTAAAAAAACTTATTTTTCATTTTTTAAATTCAATTTTCTCTTTTTGTGTTTTTAAATTTATGTCTTATATAGTTATGTGACTTGTATATTTTAAATATGAAATTATTTATTAAATTTTGAGTAGTAACTTATGATATTTTTTTTTTTGGGTTTATATTTCTCAAACCGCTTGAGGTTCAACAGTCAAATAGTTACTATATATATATATAGGTGAAAACATTAAATGTGAAGAATAATAATCATACAATAAGTGAAAGCATCAAATATGAAGAAACAATTATTCACCTGTCATTGTTGGATGTCAATCGGCTAGAGAAATAATTTTACCTTATATATATATATATATATATGAGGAATGATCCGTTTACAAATTTTTTTGAATTTTTTTTACAAATTACACTATGTTCTCCCGTGAGAACATAGTTTAGTTTGTAAGAGTTTATAAACAAAAAAATTTGTAAATATAACCTGCCCTTATATATATGTAATTTTATATCTTGACCTTAAGTAGTAAATTTTTTACGTTTTATGTCGTCTACTACGATTTACATTTCTACTACTCATTACATTTCTACGTAAAAACTCAATTTTGACAATATTGGTTACAATCACCACAATCAGAATTTTTCTTTTTCCATCTTTAAAACGGTACTTTATTAGCGATTTTATATTAGAAGTTATGGATTCATATAATATAGAAATAAGGTTAATTGAAAATATATTTCTTTTGCAACTTTTGTAATTTTTACTTTTGAGTTCATAACTGTTTTTTGTTAATTTTATAATTTTTCATATAGTTATTTAATTTTTAAGATAAGTCATTAGTGAGGTAAGATTTGGAGGTTGGGAAGTTCATATACACTTTGAAAGAGGGTAGTTTCTGTGAGGAGAGATATGCAAAGAAAGGCCATTCTCTTGGCATGGGCTATACGCTCTTTCCTCATGCACACCCATCCTTGTTTCTTTTGCATTCGGATTTAGTGGGAACGTGGCCACCCAAAAATGTTGATTTGTAGTTTCTTTGTGTTTGTTTTGGGTTTTTGACCCTGTTTTTCTACCAAAAAGATAATAGTAATTAAAATAAGAAAAATAATAGTCTTATATTATAGGAGATTATTATCTTATATCATAAATACTTCGATAATTATGTTGCTATTTTTTTTTCTGTTTTTTTTTTAGTTATGGACCCCATCATTTTGTGTTTTACTATAAGATATGCTCTCTCCTACCACGTCACTTTGTGCCACCCAAAAATGTTGATTTGTAGTTTCTTTGTGTTTGTTTTGGGTTTTTGACCTTGTTTTTCTACCAAAAAGATAATAATAATAAAAATAAGAGAAATAATAGTCTTATATTGTAGGAGATTATTACCTTATACCATAGATACTTTGATAATTATGCTGCTTTTTTTTTTTCCTTTTTTTTTTTAGTAATGAACCCCATCACTTTGTGTTTTACCATAAGATATGCTCTCTTCTATCACATAAAAGTAGACATATCCTAAAAATAAATATAAAATTGTTACTATTTTCTTTTTTAGGTATTTCATATTTGAAATTCCTATTGTAAGGTGTTTCTTTTTCTTTTTTAACTTTGAATAATGGATTCTGTCGTTTCTTACTATTTTTTAACCTTAACTAACTTTTTTTTTAAAAATATATAAATTGAGGAGCATGTGGTGCTAACGAAAAAGATAGATTAAATAGGATTCGCACTTTGATATTCATTTAACTATTTAAAGACAAATATAAAATTAATGTTAGGAAAAGGATATTAAAACAATCAATTAGTGTTACTATCAATCAATTTCACCGTTAGATCAATTATGTTGATCTAACGGTTATATTTATCTTTGTATGGTTATGACTACCCATATTTAATGTGAAAGCTTTAAATATAAGAAATCATAACCATACAAAAGATATTCTAACAACCAACTAGTGTTACTACCAATAAATTTCACTGTTCGATCGATTATGTTGATCAACTGTTATATTTATTTTCATATTTGTATGGTTATGATTTTTCATATTTAATACTTTATATTTATTTTCACCTTTGTATGGTTATGACTACCTATATTTAATATGAAAACATTAAATACATTAAATATGGGTAGTCATAACTATATAAAGATGAAAAAAAATATAACCGTTGGATCAACATAATCGATTTAACGGTGAAATTGATTGGTAGTAACACTAATTGATTGTTCCAATATCATTTCCCTAAAAATATTATGCTAATAAAGGAAATTTACACTTGTAATTTTGTTTTCCTTACAATCTCTTAAAGTTATTTCTATCATTATTATGTAAAAATCAAATCGACAATTATAAATAACAAGAATTGTTAATTTAATTTTTATCGGTATAAGAAGTGGTAATTTTTTTTTATAAATATAACCCATATCATATTAGTAACTCCTGACAGTAAAACAAATAGTTTAAATTTCTATAAAAAAAAGTAAATATCTATGAACCCGATTTATTAATAGAAAAAAATGTTGGTTATTTTAAAGAGCGTAAAGTTGTGTTATTTCAAGTGAAAGAAAGAAATAGATCACGAGAGAAAAAATAGTGAAAAATAAAAAATAAAAATATAAGTTTCGCCTCTTTATAAGAGTAAAATAATACAACTTATGTCACTTAAAAGTACAAATCTTTTTTCCTTTATTATAAGAATATCTTCAGTCAATGAAGATAAGTTATTTTCGGTGAACTCAAAATGATGTCATTTTAAAAGAGAAATCAATGTATTTTTATAATTCTAATATATTACAGTCAAAACAACATCTTTTTGAGTTCAACAAAAATAATTTTAAATAATTTTATCTTCAAATGACCGGATAAATATTATTCGCTTATTATAAACTATGATTTCTTTGGTTTATACAAAAAAAAAAAAAAAAACTATGATTTCTTTGGATAACATAAACTAAAAAAATCTTGTTATCACTTAAATTTTCTAATTAACTGTTAGCGCCGTGTACTATAAAACGCTAACATCGATGCGTTTTGTATCTATTGGCTAAGAAATCAACATTTCTGGGAATTTAGGGATTCGAGTTGGCTGATCTCAGTCTTGCACACCTCGCTCTCTCTCTCTCACTCTCTCACTCTCTCCGTCGCTACAGCTTAGTGATTTTGGGGTTTCTCTTCTCATCGAGACATAAGGTAAAGCTTGCTTGTTATTGTTCTCTTCTTTTTCTTTCTCAGTGCGAATTGGAAAAGACTTCATCGTGATTTCACCGTCACTTAGGTGCAGTGCCACCCTTGAAATTTCTTATTAAAAAACGCTTTTATACTGTCTAACTATTTCTTCCTTATTTTTCTTCTCTTTTGCTGTAATTTCAACGCAATTTTATACTTTGGTCAAACATCAAGAAAAATCAAAAGAATTTTCTTTTTCTTTTTCTTTTTCTTTTTTTAAACACCTTTGCTTGATTTCACAGCAAATTGGTGTAGCAGCAGCAGGTACTAACATGAACGTATATTGTTTTCTGCAGGGTTTATAGTCCGTGCAAAGATTGTTGCTTGTTGTAAAAATCTGAATTGCTTGAAGAGAAAAAATGGATAATAAAGAAGCAGTGTTGGAAGATGTGGAAATAAATTCTGTGAATGTTCCAGTGTCTGAATTCGACGGGTGGGCCAAATTCGAGGATGATGACGTAATGGAGCAGCAATTTGCAATTCAGGCTGACGAAGACAAGAAAGTTCCGTTTGTGGGTGACAAGGCAAGACTAAGTGCATCACTCTTTGAAATTTCTTTCATTTCTTTATGTAGTGATTCAGGTTTAATTGGTTTACAGTATATAGTGCTTATAAGGAAAGTGCTACGAGTTATTACATTCAAATTGAAATTGCATTACTTTGTGTCCCTTATTTTTTGTTTCTTTCATTCGTTGCGATTTCTTTTCTCGATGAGAGGGTGGAATACGATTTTAATGATGAGTGAAAGAATAAAGGTTTCATGTGGCAAATTCGCAGGAACCGCTAAGTAGCTTAGCCGCTGAATATCAATCAGGCAGTCCTATCTTGCTGGAGAAAATTAAGGTTTGATGAACCTTTTATCTCCATTTCCTTTTGTGTTTTGTTTCTTCTTGCATCTTATCTTGTTTCGTGAATCTTTCTCTTGTTCCCCTTAATACAGGTTCTTGACGAGCAATATGCTGGCATTCGGCGGACTCGCGGAGATGGAAACTGCTTCTTTCGAGGCTTTATGTTTTCATACCTTGTATGGTTTAATGTATCTAGCTTAGAAGCATTCTCTACTTTAACCTAGGATGGCTATTCTGGGATCTATGGAGTATGAAAACAAATACTCTAATAAGTTTTGTCCATGAATAAATTGTCATTAACCTTTTTTTTTTTCCTCAGGAGCATATTTTGGACACTCAAGACCAAACAGAAATTGATCGTATCAAAGCCAATATAGAAAAAAGTAGAAAAGCACTGCAGTCCTTGGGTTATGCAGAACTGACTTTTGAAGACTTTTTTGGGGTAAGTTATCAACTGCATTCTTCATTCCTTATGTTTCTGGGTATATATGTTGGCTTATTTATTTTATAGTAATGTCTTATGATTTACTAGGTAAAAATGCCTACACTCACTAAACTTTTGAAAATGCTCCAAACTTTTAATTGCTATTTATGGAAATAGGTATATTGCATTGGCTATACTGAATAATCTCTCCTAAAGTTTGGAATGGGGTAGTTGAAAGTAGCTACCTCTACTTTTAACATCTGCCAATTAAGCCCGTATACTATGGGAAATGTTTGAATAGATCTTCCATCTATCCAGTTTTAATTCGTTAACAGTTTCTTTAGTCATGGGAGAATTGGGTGACTACTTTTATTCATTTTTTCTCCAAAATTAACCAATTTATATGATCCTTATGTAACTAAATTTATTCATGTAGGAATAAATTTGAATTAATTTTTGCTGGCCTTTTTTTTATAGGATAATAACTTCTGTTGCAGGAGAAGTTTCCCATTTCCAGCAGAGAGAACAAAAAGTGTGCCCCACTGTTTTTTAAAAAAATAATAATAATAAGGGCTCAAATTTCGATGCCTCACAACATGAGGCAATACTTTCTCCTGTAACAAGCATTGCCTTTTTTTTATTCCAAAATTTAAAGAAATTAGATATATTACTTTAACTATCACGTGATGGCTCATTACCATCTTCAATGTCATGGCCGCTTTTTCTTTCTACTTCTTTCTCTTTCAAATGGTTATGGAGGGTGTTCACTGTGAGGCTGACATCTTGTGAAATCAAATACTGAAAACCAGGATAAAAAACAGAAGCCGCAAAGGCAAGGCCTCATAAAGTTACATTTATGGAGCTGGTGAATTGCTTTCCTTTGGGAATGGGCTGATTTGGAGCTAATGGTGTCTGGGGTGTTTTTGCATTAGAAGTTATTCATAGCTTCTTGCTTTTCTTCCAACTTCTCCAATAAAAATCGACCAAAGAGGGAAACCCTTTTGGTTGTTCAAAAAGATGGGAAAATCTAACAATAGAACAAATGTATAGGTCACGTTCAATCAGAACAAAGTTCTCTATTAAAGGGAAGAATTTGGAAAATTTTCTGGCATATTCTTCTATTTGTCTTGGTAGAAGTATGGGCAAAGCCAGGAATACATTGTTTAATATTTTTAAGAAAATGCTATACATAGGATTATTTTCCTCATCTAAGGATATGAATTCACTTTTGATTATCTCATTGTTGTAAAAAATTTTCAGTTATTCCTTGAGCAGCTGGAATGTGTTATTCAAGGGAAAGAGAGTTCCATAAGGTGTTAACTTTTTCCTTCACCATGAATTTGCATTAACAAATGATAATCATGAACTGGAAGCATGGATAGTTCTTAGAATATTTAATTATCATAATGCTCTGTTCATCTTTCTCTTAATTTTCTTATTCTTATTCTCTCTTCCCTGGGGTTTTGTTTGAATGAACTTTATATATTATTATGATCACAGTCGTGAAGAGCTTGTTCTTAGAAGCCGAGATCAGTCAATATCTGATTATGGTGAGTGACTTAAAACCCATTCAAAATGCCTTTGATCTCATTTCTTCAATATGTCTTGACAACTTTGTTTCGGTAGTTGTTATGTTCTTCAGATTCATTACCTCTGCTGAAATACAGAAGCGCTCAGAATTTTTTGAACCTTTCATACTGGGGTTGACTAATACAACAGTTGATCAGGTTTGTTCAATGTTAATAATTTTTTCCATCCTCCAAAAGTTGATTGTAAAGTTAGTATCTGACTAAAATGAAACAGTGCAACTAGTAGTTCTGTTGTTGGAAAACTGTCTATGATATGGGCTTATGATTTTAATGTATTATTGTCCATCTCACTCATGTTATTTATTGTGGTTTAGTTTTGCAAATCATCTGTTGAACCAATGGGTGAAGAGAGCGACCATGTGCATATTACTGCCCTTTGTGATGCATTGGGCATTCCAATCCGTGTTGTGTACCTTGACCGTAGCTCATGTGATACTGGTGGTGTCAGTGTAAATCATCATGATTTCGTGCCAGTTGCCGGTGATCTCCCAAATGCTAGTGGTAGCTCTGGAAAGAACAATCCTTTCATCACTTTGCTATATCGCCCTGGTCACTATGATATCCTCTATCCAAAGTGATGACGTCTTGGGATGACCTTTTGTTTGTTACTTTTTTGGTGGTGTGTGGAAGGCCTCAAGAGCTCTGCGCCGAGCTAGGTTGTTAAGGACATGTGTGCCCTGTACCTTGTTAATGCTGAATGTCAATTGTGTAGGATGTTTTACCTAATTAGAAGAGATTGATCAACAAAGTACGTCAACATTAACGCACTAATAATCAAATTCTCACCTTGATGCCTGTTACTCCATTACATGTTGGCCATGATTTCTTTCTTGCTAGTATCTTTTGTGCATTGGGAGTTAAGTCACTATTACGATGACATGACTCCTGATAATAGCTCCGGTATATAAAGAAGCAAACGTATTATCTCATAATGCTAGTTTCAGTCTTGCTTATGCATTTGTTGCAATAATGTTAAGTATGTGGATTAATTTATTTTGAGAGATTATTAGCTAAATCGAATTTATTAAATCAGTCTTGCTTAGGCATTTGTTATACGGGAAAAGTTTTTTTTTTCCTGCCAAAGGAGATACGCAACCCCGAATTTGGGATTTAGAATAAAAAATAAAGGGTATTTTGGAATTTTTATTTTCTTATCATAATATGTATTTTACTAAAATATTATTTATTATTTATTTTAAATTTCAAACGGTGTTGTTTTGGGGTTGTAAGAGATAATTTTATCTCATGTGATAGGAGAAACATTAATCCCTTATTATAATACATTTATTAGATGAAATCAAGTTTATGAAATTGAATTCATTCAAAATTAAGTATTTAAACTCTAAATCTAAACCCTATGTTAATTCATGTACCCAACCAAGCTGGCATTGGGCAGGGCCAGGGAATGTACGCACAATCAAAGAAGGAATAAGGTTAAATAATTGAGTACTCCATTTTAAGAATAGATTCTCTCGTGTAATTTTACATAATTAAGTCTTGTGAAGGGTTCTTAACCTTAACAGTTATTTTTCCTCACCCTATATTTTAGTATTTTGCTCTTTTATCTCATATCACTGTTGATTTATCTATAAGTTATTAACAACCCTTTACATAACCTTATCATGTGAAATCACATATGAAAAGATTCACTCCCCTTCTTTTTTATTCTTTCATTGTCATTTTTGAAGTTGTAAACGGGGTTTTCTGACTTTGTTCAATAATCCCCTTCGCGGTCCACGGCTGCCAAAGATAATTATTTGATATACAGGGTCCATTATATGATCATTTCGGCACCTCATTTGACAGTTTGTCTATATAAGTGGATTATTTAGATATTGGCGTATTGTTAGGCATGTTTAGTATTAAATAAAGTGCTTATGGTAAATACTTTACCTCCAAAATGTACCGGTTCAGCAAATAACAAGTGACAATGAAATTCTCTCCGTATTGGTTATTTCCTTCTGTTGTGATGTGCCTTGTTTTTTAGTTAATTTCATCGCAATGTGCCCGGACAACTTTTTCTTCTTAATTTTCTTAAAGATAAAATTTCAATATTTTTATATATAATTGATTGGAAATTACGTATGAGACTTAGTAAAGTTCAAAAATCCAACAAGAATTACTGTCCTTGAGAATTTTCCAGCACATAACTTACTTGGACTGTATTGTGAACAACAAACGTTGCTTTAGCATCTGGCTTGCCCATTAATAAAGGTCAACACGATTTATTACGTTTCCACGCTTCAAATTTAGTTTATTATTATTATTATTATTATCATGCCTATTGGCATTGCCTACAGAGTCTGGTTCTCTCTTTATCACCAATACAGAGGAAACAACCACATGGGCAAAATTTATATTAATAATAAGTCTCATTGTTGAATAAGATTTCAACAAGCTAACTTGAAATCTGCAATTACAAATTATAGAACAGAACAGGCCCAGAAGAAAAAGGAAGCACCTAAGAGGGAAAAAAGGACATTGGAAGGGATAAATAGAAAAACTTAATGACCATTAATAATGGCTTCCTCCAAAAGTTGCTTAGAATTATTCATCAAAGCAGGACTCAACCTGAACATGAGTGCGCAGAACTCCATCTCATCAAGAGCCCCATCCCCATCCGTATCTCCTTCTCTTAGCATGCACATGATCTCATCATCGCTCATCCCTTCCAACCCAAGCAATGCTGAGTTCTTCTTCAAGCTCTCAAACGTAATCACCTTCTTCTCTCTGTCCATCAACAACTTGAAACCATTTGTCAGCTCCTTCATAAACCCCTCAGTGCCCAGTTTCTCCATCATTGCCGGGAAGTAGTCCTCAAAAACAACCGTGTTCTTCTTTGATGCCATTAGTCTGAATCCCTCAATGCAATACCACAGTTAGTTATATAACCAAAAATAAAGAGAAAAGAAATGGGGTTTGTGTTGTATAGTGAGAACAACGGAAAAAACTTTTCTTTGTGGGAAAGTTGTTTGTGTTTTATGTGCATTTATATAATGATATGGAGAAGAAAATAAACATGAAGGAAGTGTTGATGAGAAGTTGACAAGATAAGAGTTGCTGATAGGCACTATTTTTGCTTGAATAAATTCGTAACCGGGTTTTACTCTTTCGTGGAAGCTGCGTGGGAACCTCAATAGTGTGGCTAAGCAAGGTACATAATTGTCAGGACTCAGGATTGCTCACGGGGTCTACCATGATATAAAAATTTGGTACTACCAAATGGTAGTAACTCAGTTGGCGGCATGAGAACTAAGCAGGTGGTGGGGATGAGAATATGTTTTCGAATCTCTTCAGTACCATCTTTGAGACGAGTTTAAAGCTTTAATTCTGGACCCGCCCCGAATCGGATTAGTTGCGAAACAATGAACCGGTTGAAATATTTCCAAAATAAAAATAAAAATTTGGTACTTTCTTGAGTTTTTATAACCAATCAATTCAACTCAAAAGATTAAGATATTGGGTTAGATTATATTAATAATTTTATATTTCTCTAACACGTCCCTTTCCCTTCCCACAACTTAAAAGGTGGATGATGCATTAGTCTCCTTGTGCAAAGAAAGTTCACAATAATTAATTATTTTTATTAAGAGAACAAAGGCGCTGATAATCGAACTTGTGACAACAAGACTCTGATACATGTAAAGATCCAATTCAACCCAAAAATTTAAACTGTGAGTGACGATACATTAATAATTTTATATTTCTCTAAGACTTTGTTTGGGAGTTTGGAGGGGAAGTAAAAGAAAAGGAAGGGAAGGGAGAGGAAGGGTATTCCCTTCTCTTGTTTGGGAGTTAAAACTCCCAAATTGAAGGAATTTTAATTTTAGAGTAAATACCCTTTTTGGTCTTTAGCAAATTTCATGATGTCCGTTTTAGTCCCTAGCAAATAAAAAAGTCCATCGTGGTCCCTAGGAAATTCAAAATGGACCCATTTAGTGAAAATAGTGGTCCCTCACAAATTCAAAAAAGACTCATATTAGTTCTCAAAAGGACTAAAATAGATTCATTTTTAATTTTTTAGGGACCACGATAGAGTTTTTTATTTGCTAGGGACTAAAATGGGTATCGTGAAATTTGCTGAGGACCAAAAACGATATTTACTCTTAATTTTAAGAACAATAAAGGGATTTTTGAAGAGTTTTGTGAAAATATTTAAATTATTTCCTTCATTTTTTTAAACTCACAGACAAAGTAAGAGGTAAACCACTTCTCTTCCTTTTATTTCCCTCGTAAAACTAACTTACAAAGAAGCACTCACAGTTGTGTACTGCCAAGTGCCAATTTGCGCTATTCCTGGCAAATCGAAATTAATGCGAAAGGTAACAAACAACGAAAGCAAGCAACAAAAACGAAGATGCTGTGATGTAGCTATATAATCCAAATATTTGACCCACACATTAATTAAAATTATCAATTTGGATTTATACTCTTAATTTGGATCTTATAAATTTTACCAATTGGTCACTTGTGATATATTGAATTGAGATGCTAGAGGACGCGCTCAGAAGACAATCCAATAATCGGTACACGCATCATTATTACATTCTTTTGTCTTATAAAAGACTAAAGGTTTATAATTGCGTCTTCAATTTATGAAAAAAATTAAGCTTTCCTTCATAATTATACCGAACTTGCATGTCATAGATGCCTCCATGGAATAATGCTCCATCGATTGGGAAAGGACTGAGGCATTTGCTTTGTTGGTTTCCTTCTGATAAGTCATAATCTTTTCATGGCAACATAAGGCGCAAAGTAAAAAGGAACAAAGGAGTCAGATCATAGAAATTTCATGTAGTTTTCGAATGCTTGGATTTAACTTCATGTTTGTATAGATTCTGTCTTAATGGTTTGGATTTCTGCTGTTCATGTGGCTTCTATGAAAGATGGTTTGTCTAAAGTATGCACTGTATACTGATTGTATGTGATATAGTACTTGGGCCTACAATTAGTCCTACATGATAGCAAAAGTTTATCATGCGAAAGAAAAATTAAAGGGAACATTGATGATTGATCCAAAATAGGAAAAAACTAATATTATGTAAATTTGTAAAGTTTTTTACTTACTCACCTATTGGTTTTCGTACCATCATTTTTTATTTTTTGTTTTTATTATATGTATGAGACCCACATACATTTTTATTTGAGTAGAAAAATGTTTTAAGATTATGTTACATGATAGTAGTTTTACCCTCCAAAATATTAGGAAAAGCTTCTTTTTATGGGGAATTACAAAAATGTTTAATTAGCTAATTCGTTTCGAAAGAGAATATCAGTTTGTAAAATGAAATTTAATAGAGAGATTGTACGGCCAAGGTTGCGATGAATGAAAAATAAAATAATCAACACATTCATAATCACCATCAACATAAGATTTACAATTTATTTTAATCTTACGAATATGAGAGGGTAAATTGGAGATCCGAGTCAATTCAAACTTCTGGAGCTTTGGCTTTTTCACCTTTTTGTTCTCGATTAAATTAAAAATTATCATTTCTCAAGGTTTTTGGTCAACTTTTTTTCAAAAAATACTTCCTGGTATTTTATTTGGCATAATTTATTTATGTGGATAATATTATTTAATTCCTATTCTTATTTTCACTTTTCAATATTAACCAATAATTATTTCTGCGTGTAAATCTCAAAAAATTAAGTGAAATCAAAAAATAAAAATCACTTAATTCAAATTCTCGAACCAAAAGGTATGATCTTAAGAAATTTTAGAGTAAATTTGAGCCATGTAATCGATTACACGACTCATGCATGATTTATGTAATCGATTACATCAACCAATCATCAATCATCAATCAAATAGAGACAGATTAATATTAAGTTTTAGTGATATGTTAAAAATTTTAAATAGTATAAAAACAGGATATTTTCATAATTTTTATTTTAAAAAGAGACAAAAAGGTAAAAAAAAAAAGAAAAGATCTTAACTTTATTTCGGAAAAGCTTGCAATTGCGACAAAATAACTCCTCACCTAGTAGGTTACGAGACGGGTGGTTGTTCCTAACCCACACACATATTACTTTCTGTTGTTCAGGACCACCCACACGCCAGGGGGCATTGAAAATAATGAATTGAAAGTTTTTTTTTTTAATCATAATTAGTGACTAAATATATTTTTAACTATATATCCCAAAAAAAAGTGTTTTCCAATTAAATGGAATAAAAAAGAAATTTTGGATTGTTTGGTGCCGAAGCATATGCGGATTCGCTAAATAAAAAGAACTATGATTCAGAGTAATGGCAATTCATAATATTATTTTTATTTAATTAAAAATAATTAAATAAACTGGGGTTTATAATGTCCTTAAATAGACAATAAAAACCCAAATAATAAAAATTAAGAAACTGTCCTTAGGGAAATAAACAAATTAAAAAATTAAATAGAAAATAATTAAAAATTTCATAAAAATAATTTTGAAAGCCCAAAAAATATTAGTGCTCGTGCAACCTCGCGACCGATTCGTAGAGCCTGATCAAGTGTGAGGAAATACTTACCCAGATTCTTCAAATTGGCTTTAGTTCAAATTTATTGGCATCGTGAGTGAGATTAATTAAACTTTCATAAATTTATTTAAGATTATTATAAAAAAGCATGTTTGTATTGGACCAATTGCAGCATTGCAGTTGCAACTTATAACTAAAACAAAGAAAGGAAAAGAAAGGCGGCTTTATTTCTCATTAGAGTTAAGGCAACAGCTTCTAGGAAGAGTCAAGGTGTTCTGGCAGAACTTAAATTTTCACTTTAATATGTGAATATATGGCAGTTGATTGTCACTGTTAGAGAGATGAATTATGTGGTATCCACTGTTTGTGGTATTGAGATATATTATTATGCTGATAGAGCTTACACGTGTATTATACTCTGTATGTCAGTTTGTTAGTCCGTTGTAAGTAACTTAGTTAGGTTTTGGGGTGGTGTATTCCAAGGTTCTTATTACATGGTATCAGAGCTTGATCCTCACCGTCTCCCACTTTAAAGTAGAATTAAAATAAAAAAACACAAAAGGTACACCAAAAATGGGGCCTGTGCATTGTCCACCCTTCAAGTTCAGTGGGCTCTCGTATGAGGGGACGTGTTGAGATATATAGTCCCACATTGATTGTATGTGCAACTAATGTGGAGTTTATAAGGCTTCGAGCACTTCCACCCTTTGAGCTAATTTTTGGAGTGGTGTATCTCAATGTTCGTGGAATACTATTTTCTTTTCTTTTTTTATTAATCTCAGTTTGTGTTATTAACATTTTAATTTTCATTACTTCATTTTGAGATAATTTAGATTTGATAATTTTTTTTTGCCTTTTGAGAGGCAAACTACGGAGAAAAAAAGAAAAATTGTTGCCAGAGTAATAATCAACCTATTATTAATTGGGACTAGATTTTTTGTATCATATTGACACCAGCTCCCAAAATGTAGTTAACATACGAAAGGCATAGTCATAAGTCTAATGACATGATAATCCAAATAGACGGCTTCATGCAAAAAGTCATCAATTCATCTACAGACTTTTCTGAATCCTTGAATTGTACAATAACTCACAAATTAGAAGGAAAAATATATCATTGAAGAGATCTAAAATCCACCATTATGATAACAGGAAGCACACACGTCTCTGCAACAATGGTATTCATTAGCCACGCAAATTTGTTATCAATTTTGATGATATTTTGTTGCCTATGTTTAGACTGTTGTACTGCCATAGACACCATCACTTCATCTCAATATATCAACGACCCTGAAACTCTAAGCTCTAATAGTAGCAACTTCACTTTAGGATTTTTAAGCCTTGGAAATTCTGCAAATCGCTACGTGGGAATTTGGTACATGTCCAAATCCAGTGTCATATGGGTAGCTAACAGAAACCAACCACTCATGGATTCTTCCGGTAGTTTCACAATATCCGAGGATGGCAATCTT